TTAAATGAAAGCATGCTCAGGTAGTGTAGTTTTAAGTTTGTTCAAATGATGACCCCCGGGGTAGGGCGGGGCCAAAATGGCCGACCAAAGTTTTACATAGAAATATATAGGAAAATTCTTTAAAAATCTTCTTCTCAAGAATGACAAAGCCATAATTCTTCATATTTAAATGGAAGCATGCTCAGTTAGTGTAGATTCAAATTTGTTCAAATCATGACCCCCGGGGGTAGGGCGGGGCCAAAATGGCCGACCAAAGTTTAAAGATATATATTGGAAAATTCTTTAAAAATCATTTTCTAAAAAATAGCAAATCCATGATAGGTCATGGGAATACTTTTGGATTTAAACTTTACAATAAAAAGCCATTTTCTTCTTTTTCCTACCCTTAGTGCTCAGGTGAGCGATGTGGCCCATGGGCCTCTTGTTTTATCTGAAAATGAAAAAGTTGAAAATAATTAACTGATTGATTTTGAAAAATATATATATATATAAAAATGATACAAATATGTGATCAGGGCATAAAACACAGAGATGGGAGCAGGTGCCTAGGAGGAGTAAGCATCTCCTGTAAACCAGGGACTGCTTTGTATTGCTGTTGGAATATAGTCCTGGGGATTGATTAGTAACAACTTTTTTGCAGTGTTCATTGTTTTGCCTAAAATTTTTAAATAGCTCTTTTATACAATGATTATCATTGTAGCATTTATGAGGCCATTTGACTGTCATATATAAACAAAGTACAGTGGAGCCTCATTTATCTGGACGCTTTGGTTCCTGGTCAGTTTGTCTGGATATGTGAAGCATCGGGATATCTGATTTACCAGTTAAACAAGACAAAATAACATTAAAAAATTTTGTTCCCAAGAAAAGTTGTCCGGATACTGAAGCATCCAGATATCTGGCATCTGGATATCTGAAGGTCCACTGTACTGCTGCCTTCCCCTTTGTCGATATAATTATCTTTTGGTTTATTTTCATGCCCCCGGATGAAAAGGTTCCGGGAGTGTATTGTTTCTGTCTTGTCTGTCTGTTTGTCTGTCTGTTGTCAACTTTAACTTTGCCCATAACTATTGCACTGTCAAGGGTAAGTGTATACCACTTCAGTCTACATCCTTCTCCAGAATTGTCGGGGCATAGTGTTTTACAAACGCATCTTGTCTTAAGTAACTATTTTGAATATAGTCCTAGTTATTTGACTTCATACTCTTTCTGACAGCCGCTTCTCTGTAAATTGTAGTGGATGATTGATTTCATGACCACTCCATTTTAACATTTTAAATATTACTTACTCTCGAATTGCCTTATCAGCTGTCACCATGGACCATAAAATTTTAAAATCTGAAGTACTGAAATCCACTCTTACTCAACCTTTAATAAAATGGTTATTGACTCTTGATGAATTTAGTCTACTCTTAACTATATGAACTACTTCAGGCATTGGTCAACCTCACCCTTTGGCCTCAGTCAACAATAATGCCTGACCAGGTCTGTATAGTCACATGTGTACCTCATTAAAAGTCAATAATTGTATATAGTAAGAGATCAACTTACAAGTTGCATGTACATAATTTTTTTAAGGAGTTAGTGACAGTCTAATATAAATGATTCAAGGAGGATACTCATACAAAGATGTCATGCAATAAAATAGGTCATTAGATAAGACCACTGCAAAGGAAGCATGAACAAAACATATTGAGCTGTATAAGGAAATAAAGTTTTATCTGTTTGATAACAGTTAAAACAACTCAAAAAAGGTCAATGTATGCATGAACCTTCAGCTATAAGATTTTAAATCGTCTCTAATCGTTGCATTTGTTATTTGAATTGTTATGATTCTAAACTAGAGAGCTCCCCTAAAGTGCTTATTTCTCCATGTGGGGTAAAAAAGTTCTTCCAACCTAGCAGGCCCTGGGTAGATCCATGTTTAAATGTTGCACAAATGTGATCAGATTTATCTGAACCGTATCAAATCCTGACACCTTTTAAGGATTAGAATTTTGAATTCCAGTTGTAAGATAAGTTGTGGGGATAAGGTTTAATATAAACTTAAACTTGCAGGTATTCAAACTTTTAAGGGAGACATATTTCTTTATAACTTTATTGACAGCTACAACTTGATGTAAAGAATATTTTGTAGCACTTAATTTGTTTTCCTAATTAAAGAGGACCATTCTAAAGGCTGTTCTTAATAAAATGTACTTAAGGATGTAGATTTTTATAAAAGGGACTTTTTTGGATATGCATCACAGAATTACTGTGGTTGATACAAAGCATGCTCTTTTTGATGTTGATGTTTCTTTTAGTTAAAATGTTGATTAAAATAATCCTGACACATAATTGCACCAACAAAAGCTCGGTTCAGCACTACCTTGACATATACATGTATCTTCACCCATAGAACAATTAAAAGCTCTCAGTCCATTAGTTGCCATGTAACTGCATCTACAAAACCTCTTTCCACCTGAGTTAACTGAGGACTACACTCACAAAACCTTTGTCCACCTGATTTAACTAGTAACTACAGCCATAAAACCTTTGTCCACCTGAGTTAATTAGTAGCTACACCTACAAAACCTTTGTCCACCAGAGTTAACTAGTAACTACACCCACAAATCCTTTGTCCACCAGAGTTAACTAGTGACTACACCCACAAAACCTTTGTCCACCTGAGTTAACTATTAACTACACACACAAAACCTTTGTCCACCTGAGTTAACAAGTAACTACACCTACAAAACCTTTGTCCACCAGAGTTAACTAGTAATTACACCTACAAAACCTTTGTCCACTAGAGTTAACTAGTAATTACACCTACAAAACCTTTGTCCACCAGAGTTAACTAGTAGCTACACCCACAACCTCCACAAAACCTTTGTCCACCAGAGTTAACTAGTAATTACACCTACAAAACCTTTGTCCACCTGAGTTAACTAGTGACTACACCCACAAAACCTCCACAAAACCTTTGTCCACCAGAGTTAACTAGTAATTACACCTACAAAACCTTTGTCCACCAGAGTTAACTAGTAACTACACCTACAAAACCTTTGTCCACCAGAGTTAACTAGTAATTACACCTACAAAACCTTTGTCCACCAGAGTTAACAAGTAACTACACCTACAAAACCTTTGTCCACCAGAGTTAACAAGTAACTACACCTACAAAACCTTTGTCCACCTGAGTTAACTAGTAATTACACCTACAAAACCTTTGTCCACCAGAGTTAACTAGTAGCTACACCTACAAAACCTTTGTCCACCAGAGTTAACTAGTAATTACACCTACAAAACCTTTGTCCACCAGAGTTAACAAGTAACTACACCCACAAAACCTTTGTCCACCTGAGTTAACTAGTAATTACACCTACAAAACCTTTGTCCACCAGAGTTAACTAGTAATTACACCTACAAAACCTTTGTCCACCAGAGTTAACTAGTAACTACACCTACAAAACCTTTGTCCACCAGAGTTAACTAGTAATTACACCTACAAAACCTTTGTCCACCAGAGTTAACAAGTAACTACACCCACAAAACCTTTGTCCACCTGAGTTAACAAGTAACTACACCTACAAAACCTTTGTCCACCTGAGTTAACTAGTAACTACACCCACAAAACCTTTGTCCACCTGAGTTAACAAGTAACTACACCTACAAAACCTTTGTCCACCTGAGTTAACTAGTAACTACACACACAAAACCTTTGTCCACCTGAGTTAACAAGTAACTACACCTACAAAACCTTTGTTCACCTGAGTTAACTAGTGACTACACCCACAAAACCTTTGTTCACCTGAGTTAACTAGTAACTACACACACAAAACCTTTGTCCACCTGAGTTAACTAGTAATTACACCTACAAAACCTTTGTCCACCTGAGTTAACTAGTGACTACACCCACAAAACCTCCACAGAACCTTTGTCCACCAGAGTTAACTAGTAATTACACCTACAAAACCTTTGTCCACCAGAGTTAACTAGTAACTACACCTACATATCCTTTGTTCACCTGAGTTTACAAGTTACTACACCCACAAAACCTTTGTTCACCTGAGTTAACTAGTAACTACACACACAAAACCTTTGTCCACTAGTAATTACCTTTAACTATGTTGGCTACTAAACTACACCCACACAAATCCTTTGTCCACCTGAGTTCTTAATTTCAAACTAAAAAGATTGAAAATTAAACACATATACAAAACCTTTGTCCACCAGAGTTAACTCAATGACGTACAATCACCCACAAAACCTCCACAAAACCTTTGTCCACCAGAGTTAACAAGTAACTACACCTACAAAACCTTTGTCCACCTGAGTTAACAAGTAACTACACCTACAAAACCTTTGTCCACCTGAGTTAACTAGTAATTACACCTACAAAACCTTTGTCCACCAGAGTTAACACACCTACAAAACCTTTGTCCACCAGAGTTAACAAGTAACTACACACACAAAACCTTTGTCCACCTGAGTTAACAAGTAACTACACCTACAAAACCTTTGTCCACCTGAGTTAACTAGTAACTACACACACAAAACCTTTGTCCACCTGTGATAATGTAAGTATACCTACAAAACCTTTGTCCACCTGTGATAAATTACCACATTGTACATCTAAGTACACCTACCCACCAGATTAAAATTTTATCCACAGCAACAAAAGTTATATCCAACAGTTGCACTCATATGTCATAAGAGAGTCTTGATTTCTGTTATTTAGTCAAAATAAGGTTTGCTTGATGAAATTGAATGTTTTCTGTAATGACTTATTTGCTTAAATGGAGCTTTCCTGGGCCTTGCCTTGGAAATGTGCTTTAGGCACTAATGTTATTCAACAAGACTGCCCCTTCAGCCCCATTGATTCTTTCGTTAGTTTTATAAGTAATCGATGATATGCAATAGATAAGATGCATGTACTTTATTGTAAATTGTAAATTCTATATGAAATCTGTGTTCATACTGCGTAGACAATAAATATGCTTAAACTTTACTTTCAGGAGTCTGTTACCATGATTTGATAACATCTTGGAAATGGATACAACCCTGACCTTTGACATTTCCTGGACCAATTGAAGTGCTCCTTCTACAATGATATATCCATCATGAGTGGTGATTAGTTTTCCCAGTGAATCACTCATCCATCTGCTTTACACATCCCAATGGAAACTCCTGCTTTTACAAATATACCTGATCTCATTCAGCTGTTTTGCTTAGTGATTGTAATGGACTTCATTGTAGAGAGCTTTAACTTGTAAACAAATTTGGACAGAATTTTTACTCTCTTCTCTTTCTCCCATATAAAATGCTAAAAATTCATGTTGGCATATATAATGAAATAATTAATTTTGCAATCATTTGAAACATTTATTTCTAGCACTTAATCCAATATTCCTAAATCATCATTGTAAGTATAATATGTGATATGTTGTACAATACTGGTAAGTAATATTTCCAGGCTTTTGAATGTACAATCATATATAATTATATGATGATCAAGATGTTTTTGTGCAATGGAATTGGCCAGGGTTTTTTTTTAATGTGTTTGTTTGTTTTATAATTTTGAGATCCAGTCAAGCTCAGATAAGGAATTGAAAAAAAAATACAATAAGAGAAGCTTTCTAAATTTCCATGAATGCAAAATTTACAGTGTGAAATGTTTTACTGTTCCTGATCAAGTTTGCTTATCCTAAGCTCACCATTACTCTGGAGTAAAAAACTGTATGCTTAAATAAATGTGAAAATTTCTTTGTTTAATGCCAAGCATGTAAAACATTGTTTTGAGACCTCTTGTTAAAGAACTCCATAAAATAATGGATGTGATTGTAAAAGAAATTTAAAAAAATAAGGAATACAAGGAAGGAACTGGTATTTTATACTTTTCCTGCTCAACATTCATTCATGATGTTTGTTTTTTTTTTTTACTTTCTGATCATTATTTACACCACCCCCCAGTTTTATTTTGCTTGGTATAGGACAGTAGAACATTTCAAATGTGAAGATTTTTTCTGAATTTATTTTTTTACATTAAAACAAATGGATTGGGCAGCAGACAATGCCCCTATAAGCCCTCTCCTTAAGTACAAGATTTATATAAATTATACATTATACTCCATGTAGTTAACAAGAATTTATCTTCAATATGTTGCATTTAAATAATGACTGAGAATTAAGCAGGAAAAAGAGTGTATATGATTATCAATTATTTGAGGGGAAAAGGAAGGGAAAAGTAGTAAGTTGGATAGACAGGAAAAAATAAATTGTAAAATCCAAGGTACGTTTGATCCATAAGACTATACATGGAATTAAATTATTGACACTGAACTGGCATTTTGTGCATAAAAAACACACACAAACACACCCTCACAAAAAAACAGACAACTGTATTGTTTGATACTGTAAATACTGCTTTAAAGAACCCTGTAAATTGATTTTCACTAAATTATTTCAAAATATGTAGTTTGAAATTAAAAAAAAAATAATTTTTTTTTCGGGGGGGGGGGGGGGGGGGGTATGTTGTTGCACACAGAGAAAGAAGGGGAAGCTGATAATTACACACTAGGCCTAGGATGTATTGTGGTCAAGCTTTTGTTTTTCAGTATAATTTACATGTATACTGTGGCCAAATTTTTGTTGACTTAGTTTTGTTAGATGTGAAAGGAACTACAAGTTTTTATGGTGCCAAAGTACATTTTGTAGAACGTTTGTTTAATATCCCTTTATTTGACAATTGAAATGTATATCAATTGTAGAATATGTAAATTAATTTTTGATTTTCTCCCCTTTATTCAAGGGACACCCGTTGATTTTTTTTACCTTTTTCCCAGTTAATTAGTGTTCATCGTTGTTTCGTCAGAGACGTAAGTTTAGAATTCATCAATATTTTGACTGCACATTTTAAACATAATTTATTGCGCATAAAAACCTCATTACATTACTGCAACATTTTCAAAATAACGTTTTCTGTTTACCATTAGAAAACGGTGCATGAACTATCTTTACAATGTCTCTACCTGAAGCCACTTATAAAGTACAATATGTACATGCATAGGACCTGTTTCCAATGCTCACAAGTCACAACACGGATGTAAGTTAAGAACTCCTTAGACTTTGAGCAAGATTTTTTTTTTTCACTTTAATTAATTAAAATCCTATCCTAAGCCATTTTACTTCTGAAATAGGCGTGTTTTTCAATTTATGAAAATTATAAAATCGAGAATTGTTCGTAGATAAGACACATTTTCACAGAATTTGTAGCACTATGATTGGGAGACTCAGATTTATATGTTTTGGTGAAAAAGGAACATTTTTTTGTTTTTCGTTTTCTTTATGTCTTTGTTTCATGTGATTTCTTCAGCTGTTTGCAATGAGCGCTTCTATTAAATCACAAACTTTGTAATGGATTTTGTTTTTGTTTTGGAGGTGACAGACATGTCAAAAAATTATATTGTTCAATACAGGACAAGGAGTCTGACACTGTGCAATAACTAGGGCTGTGTATTGAGCAAAAAAATTCGATACGATACGATACAATATTTTTTAAAGCGATATGCGATATATTGGATTCTAAAACAAGTCCATCAAAAAAGGCTTATTAATCATTTAATGCATGGATTTCATAAAAAAAAAAAAAAAAAAAATTAGTGTTTTATTACCTGTTTCAAAGTTCTTATCCCATAGTCAGTAAATAAAACACAATCTAAACTTTTAATGGCTGTAAAATCAACATGTTAAAATAAAATTGTTAAATGCATTTTATAACAACTATAAAAACTGTGTTATTTCTTTTATAAATCTATCATTAATGATCAGTTTTAATTCAAACAAGTGAAATATAATCTTTGCTGATTAAAATTCCCATATTTTTAGCAGAATAAGAAGAAAAACTGCTTGTCCGATACGTATTGGAAGTAATTTTTCGATACGATATTTTTCTTGAATATCGATACGTATCGATATATTGATACAGCCCTAGCAATAACCATCCATATATTGCACAGCCCAGAGATTATTGCACAGACATGCCCAGATGAAAGGGAGTGTAAAGCACAACGTTCCCCTTTTGTTTTATTTATAGTTATGGAAGGCAAGCTAGGGAGATATTTTTCTTGAACAATTCTTTCGTAAATTAAATTCATGCTTATGATTTAACGATCGGATGTCAAACTGGCATTTCATTGAAGTGGAATCGTTACGAAAATGAGCAATGTAAATATCTACATAACGCATAGACGCATAGAATCGTACACCATGCTAATCCATTTGTTAAATAGTTTCAGTCTTGAATCAGCGCACGTTGAACGTGGGTAGATTTAAGAATATTAGTCCTTTTATCGGATAAGCTAGTACGAAGCATTGTATGGCTTTGAATTATTGCCTGATTATTGGCGAATTCAAGAATTGTGCAGAATTTCCGATTTTGTAGCGTACTCACATTTATATATTTCTTTCCTACATCAAATATAATTAAAAATGAATTTTAAAAAAAATGAAAAACTTCAACACCACTAACAATATATAAAATTTTTTGAAGAATTATGCGAATATTTGACAGTACATTATTACTATTGACTTGGTGTTCGTTAAAAGCTTTTCTATGTTGTTACGTCATTGCGCCTCGGCTTCCTGAAAGAAGAAAGTCCGACTCTCAATGAATTAATGATGAAAAGAAAAACGCCAGCTCTCGTCGGGAAAATGCACAAGACGGGCTTTTTCTACCAATGTTAAAGAAATGATCAATAATTGATCAACAAAACTTTTAATATAGTTAGTGTAGAGAAAATTATACAATTTACGTCAAACAAGTTAAACAAGACAACAACCAATGTAAAAGACAGCACCCTCGACATATTTTATCTTATTTATTGAAAATATTGTTTTCCCATAAAAGGCATAAAAACTAAAAAAATTATCTTAATTGATATGTATATGCTTTAAAAATAAAAAGAAACTATTTAATATTCAGGGCATTTTTAACATATAAAATTAATTTTCTGATAATGATTTTTATTTGATATCCACGGATTTGATTTTTCATACTGTCTTTCCTGATATACTTTATTTTATCAAATAAAATATACAACATGACTATCTTTTCATCTTCTTTTACCTAGTGTCAAAGTCAAGATATACTCAGGTGTCAGTAGATTTTTCTTTGTTAGGGGATTACCCGTGTTAGAGTCAATTAATGGATAATGGTCAGTGTCCGGAGATCACGGTCATGCTATTTAATAGCGATTTCAATTAACGAAACTATTTGAGAACAAAGAAACTAAATTTTGATTAATTGTTTTTATTGCGTACCCTTTTTCGTCATTTTATGGTGAATAAAGCAGTATATTTTACTTAGCACTTCCCTGTGTCTAATTTCAGGTAAAATAGTTTATATATCTTTTTTTTCTTTTAAAAGTAATTGCAAGTTATTATTCTGTTTTGTAAAAGTTACTAAAGTATTTGATTTTGTTTTATGGAAATTTGAGCTTTCATTTAAAGTAAAATTCTGTTTTAAATAATTAATTACACAAAAACCAGTTATGCAGTTTTAAGGTTTTTATTGTTTAAACTTTTTATGAAACTAGTTCTCAGTCAATATTCGTCATTATACATGGCTTATTATTATTTGTTTCAATTATTTTGGTTCAAACCAGCAAAGTTCGGAAATAATTTGTTCAGTTTAGGTTTTGGGTTTTACTATTTATTAAACTGGTTTTCACTTTTCACAATGTTGAACAAACAAACCATGCGGCGAGTAAATTTTATATTGTAAGTTCTTAAGAAGTATTTCTTTGATTGATCAAGTAGTAGGATGTTTTTGATAAAATAATGGTTTTTATAATTCTTCTTATTTTGGGTTAAAGTTATTTATTTTGATAATGTTAGCTTAAACTTGTTTACATTTTGTCAGTTCGAATTTCCTTAGCCAATGTTTACCTTCACTACTTATTTAGTTAAATGACTTTGTTTTGATTTTTTTATATAGAGTGAGTATTTTCATATTGTTTGATCACTCTATTAGTCACCAGAGTTAAGTAAGTTAGGGCACCAACCTTTGTAATGCGTTATGCAGATAGAAATATAATTTTTATTGTGTGACTATATATATGTTGTTCATTCTTAGGAGACCTGAATAAAGCAGTATATTTTACTTAGCACTTCCCTGTGTCTAATTTCAGAGTAAGTCCCAAACCTATTTGGACTGGACATTACGTCATTAAGGGTTACAATGTTCCCCAACTATTCAAATCGTACAAAAACACGACACGATAATACCCCATCTTATACCACGTATCAATAATACGTACGTGATCAAAATAAAAGTATCCACAATGCACTTTAGATTGTAAGTATTTAGTTGTTTGTATTGACGTATTTTGGTGTGGTATTTATTTGAAAGATATTTTATTGGTTGCCTGCCTCTTGGTTATTGTCTTGTAAGATAATTTTAAAATTGAGTTTATCTTTATGATACAAAATCTTCAACTGGCTAATTGACCAACACGCCGATGCTATATATTTGTACACAAAACTACAGACACTAAATAAGTAGCTAGAGACTCTTTAAAAAATGCTTCGACGGGCGGTGTTCGTCGTCCGGTATTGTCCAAAACGCCAGAAGAAATGTGTGCGTTTTACAGGAAGTGGCCGAAAACCCTCTCAAACTTAAGTTATTAGACTTCGTGAACTTCAGGAAGTTTTGTCAGATGTTAATATCGATTTGTGAGATGTTAATGTCAACTTAAAATAGTATTTATGTCAGCTTGTTAGATGTTAATGTCAACATGCTACACTGTAGTTGTTTACGTTGACTTGTAAGATGTTTATGTTGACTTGTGAGATGTTAATGTTGACTTGCCAGATGTTTATGATAACTTGTCAGATATAGAACCTCAGTTGTTTGTTGCGTTAGTACCCCAAACTGAAATTTGTCATCAAACTGTCTTAAAAGTCGAAAAATGTGTCTAAGAAGGTAATACAATTATCTGACAAAGTATGTATATTGTTTGACAAGTCATTTTTTCTGCCATTAGACATATATTCTGAAAGGTCGTCATATTGATATATAATACTTTCATGTAAATTAGTTGAATCTGATTGGTCGAGAAACATTTGTTAAAAAACACTATTACCCGCTGAATAATGAAGCCACGCCCTCCAGCGTAGCAACAGTCAACAGTGCTTGACGACGGGTGATATTCCAAAAAATAGCGACTGCGCAGAATTTATGCGCGCACGGTTCACTGTTATATGTATTTGTATAAAAAATTCAGTATAATGTATTAAATATTGCATGTAGTTGAGTGTAACATTGAAAATTTTCACCCCTCGAAAACCATTGTCAACATCTGCGCCTCGGTAGACAATGGTTTTCTTGGGGTGAAAATTTTCAATGTTACACTCAACTATATGCAATATTTATAAAATAAGGACCTTTCAGAATTTATGTCTTGTTGTCAGTTGCTACGCTGGAGGGCGTGGCTTCATTATTCAGCGGGTAATAGTGTTTTTTAGCTCTACTGGTCAGAGACCAGAAGAGCTTATGCGATGGTAAGGTGTCCGTCGTCCGTCCGTCTGTCTAGCTGTATGTCCGTCTGTCTGTCTGTCCGTCTGTCTGTAAACAATTTTTCAAAATGCTACTCCTCCTACAGTTTTGGTCTGATTTCAGTATAACTTGGCACACAAGTAGACTACACTAAGAAACATAAACTAGTGCATCAATTTTTGATTTCGTTGAACGATATTGCCATGGTTACTAAAAATAGAAATTTCTGTGAAATTCCTTTAAAACGCTACCCCTCCTACAATTTTTTTGTCTGATTTCAATAAAATTTGGCACACAAGTGGACTACACTAAGATACATTATTCTATTTATTGCTGCCTGTTGCTAAGTTTCAAATCCAAGTGCTTCTTTTCATTTGTTACAAGTACAGACCAGTAGAGCTACAGTCTCATCAGAGACTTCTGGTTAGCAAGTGTTTCTCGACCAATCAGATTCAACTAATTTACATGAAAGTATAATATATTTATCTAACAACTGAATATGAATTATGATACGTAGTCATTTATCCAACAACTAAACATAAATTCTGACAGATTGACATGATTATCTGCCAACTAGACATATTTTCTGACAAGTCGTCATATTTATCTGACAACTAGACATAAATTCTGAAAGGTCGTCATATTTATCTAACTAGACATACACAAATTCTGATGTTATAATTAGCTGACATGTCGACATAATTATTTGAAGTTGACATGTCAAATGTTAAATTGTATATCGACTTGTCAGAAAAATGACATCGACTAATGAGATTATATGTGAACCTGTCATGCAGACAATTATTTTGACTTTTCAGGTGATATATCAGAAGTTAATATTGGTAACACGTAATGATGTTAATCACACACACTCTTGTTCACCTGAAATGAATTGCCTTTAAACCTTGACACGAGCCCTGAGCTATTCTCATAGTATCCTTAGTGAAGTGTACACAGTTTTCTGTCGCATTGACACGTTCCTATGTTGCAGTGGATTCTTACGGAATCATGGATTACACATTTTGTATTTTACAGATTTAATTTGTCAGTAAATAAGCAGCATTATCCCTTGGTATATAAGGTGTCAGGTTCCTGCATGAATGTGGTTACCCAATATTTCTCCCTTAACACTTGAAGATAGCATCCGATATGATCTTTTATTCGGGGCTGGGGAAAGGAGAGTTTCTATGAAGACATAAAATATGACTTTTACCCAGATCGATGTAAAACAAATTACAAACCCCCAGCATGCCAGCTTTGGAGATTATCGTTAAACACGTATCTGTGCCATTTTCAACAATACTTCATGAGTGAAAATGGTATCCGATTATTAAACTTGTTTATGATTTAATTTCCATAACATTTGAGTCAATAAATATAGAGATCAAAGGCTAAAAATTTTGAAGGGAACTTCGAAAGCAACGGGTCCAAAATACTTTTGAGAATTTCAGAATTGCATTAAACATTGTCGTTTGAGAACAATAGAGGAGACATCGTCATGCATTTAAATATGCTTAAAGATTGAAAACGTGTGATGAGACATTCTGTTTGAACATTCAGACAGAGATTTATAAATAATATAACTATATTTCTTGAAAGCGGATCAAGGATTTCCAAAAGCGTTTCAACGATTCGGGTCTTTTTAAAACAAAATTACCAACGGAAGTTTGATATAGCATGTATACATTATATATAATGAAAACTTTTTAAACCTTACTCTTTTTAAAATTTTCTATCTGGACCGATAATTCTTTTGAAGAAAGTTCGATTGCCATATTTTGATACACTCATTGATTCGAAACCTTTTCCTGCTATTTTGACTTTCCAAATTAAAAAAAAAAACTAAAGAAGAAATTAAAAACCATTCTAACTCCTTCAGACCATAACTAATCCTTGTCTACCAGTCAGCTTTTGATACTGAAATCTGATACATGTACCTTGTTTTTAAGGTAGATAGGAAAATAGATAGTGACGCTTTACTGCAAATCTGTATGGTTCTAAATTTAAGATCAACTAAAGGGGATTCAAAGTTGTTCAATGGCCACATCCCCTTTCGAGGGGAGATAATTGAGATATATTGAAAATTTAGCGAGTAGATCAACTCTTCTTCTCAAGAACCATTGAGCCAGAAAAATGTGTTACTCAAGATTGGCCACCCCATCCCCCAACCCCAGTACAACCGGCAATACAAGTGTAAAAAATTGAATCACAGAGGAAGAAATGATCATAATAATCTTGGCACAAGTGTTCACATTTTACATTTGCATTGCTATTTACATATAAAAGCAGATCAAAACCTTTTTTCGTTGGGTGTTGTGTAGGGGGTGGGGCTCGGGTGAAAATTTTTTGAAGGTGAGTGCTCCATTTTGTTGTCCATGTCTTGCCTTCTAACAAGGATTGATCGATAAATGTTGTTTTTTTTTTTTTTTGGTAAAACTTTCACATGATTTAAGCAAATTTTGCTAAGTACCATAGTCATCCTCACCACTTAATTTGTTCAGAAGCCGAAAGTAAATGGGTTTCTATGACCGGCTTATATTAGACAACGCAATGAAGTCTTCCTAAAAGCACCACACCTCCAGAAAATCAATTCAGTCATCAATAAATTTCTAAGATGCAAGGGTTCCTCTTCCATGAATGATTTAAAGCTATTTCCTACAATTACCCTCAGACCAATTAATGCAGATTTTCTCATCACATTTCTGTTTAAATTATAACTAACAGATACCACTAAGGTCTACATTTCCCTTCATTCAGGTCAGGACATCAAATAGCAATAACTTCTATCAGGACAATAGATCCCAATTTGTTGTATGGTCTAGTGATGGAAAACAGCAGTCCTAATACTCTAAACACCCATTTACACTGTTGACATCTGAGTCTAGTTTCAACCACTTGGTAACAAAACAACTTAATTTCTTTGAACCTGCCAATATTCCTTGCCCCATTAAATGACCCTGAAGCATTTTAAATCTAGTCTTTGATTACACGGTCCTTAATAATCATATTATTCATGAATAAAGAATATGTTTTCTGTCCGTTTAAATAATCCTTGGAATAACTTGAGGATATGGCAGGCAAGTACTTAGTTCCATCACTTTCCTCCAAAACACAAACAATAGCATTACCGAAACATTACATTATACCATTCACTTTAACCAAATGGCCGTAGTCAACAAAATCATAATAAACACCTTGGTAATATTTCCTGTGTGTTTTAATATACATAATTGTCAAGTACAGTTTTAAAAAAGACATTTCAACAGAAGTGAGGGAATTTTTGAATTAAGAACAAACAAAGGGGCATATTATGCATTTTTCAAACACAAAATACACCACTTTCGTAGAGGAGTGAAGAACAAAATTCCCTGTACGGGAAAAAAAATTGCTAAGTTTTATGAAGTTTGCTTGGTAATAACTACAGACAGACAAACAGGCACTCCACAGTGATTTAAAAAGAAAAAAGAAAAAGATGAAGTCAAAGAAGTTGTAGAAAACCATCAACACAAGACTCGGACTGTCGGAGGGTATGATAATTATAATGTTAGTTCTATATATATAAATATATATATACAGCGTTGTATGGACAAACAGAACAAAAATCTCAGACCAATTATTGGTCAATTTTTCCACTATTTACAGAATTCATAAAAATGATATAAAACTATATATATATATAAACAGTGGAAATATATAGAAAGCACATTTTAAAATAAAACAGTTTCGGGAGATTTTAACAGATCACACTTCAAAAATAAAAACGAAATATAATTTTACTATGCACAGAAAAATATGAAATATTTGTTAAAAAAAAAATTAATTAAAAATCATCTTTCTTCCAATCACAACTCAGACCTTATAAACACACAACATGCATCAATCATGAGAATGTAAAACCTTCGGATGTAAACTGTATGATGATTCTTAGAGTAAGACATGGCAGTAAAAAGATAAACATTGTGTTCACACGGTACATAGAAATACATGAATGGGGTTTCATAAGTGTACATTATTCTGAGAGGCTTGGCTAATTTGGCACTTAGTCTCTGATCTGACACCTTCCATTATTTTATAAAATATAACCTGTCAAATGGCATTTCTCCTTATAAAACTGTAATTAAACAAAACCATTCATGACTGAAATATGACTTAAAAAATATCAAGAATATGTCTTTTGTAAAAATCAATATCATAATAATTTAAAAAAAAAAAATAAATGGCATACATGCAGCAATAGGAACAAAAGAAGTCTTGGGATTAAGAAATTGATTTGTGCTTTAAAAATTTCAAGATTTCTTGAATTAATTCAGGATGTCATCTAAGTAAAACTGTACAGGCTGTTTTAAAACAGAATATCTAACAACAATTCCTCTGTCAAATAACAAAAAAAATCTTCTTTCCTTAACAAAGATTAACAAAATTTGATTTAAAACTCCTGAGGTGAAATCGATACTACCTTGTTACACAGGGTTACGCTAGTAATGAAAAATCAATATCGACTTGTGAGGCACCGGACTAGGTGTCGATACATAGGTGTATTGCATATTTAATTATTTCACGATTACGGACAAAGTCTGTATCAATAATTTAGTCTCCTATTTCAGTCAGGTGAACAGTAAATGGATCTTTTATACAATTATTTAACATTAGAGGCCAGAAAATAAAAAAAAAGAATCAGTTTAACTTTATGTGTTTAAAAAAAATAAAAATAATAAACTTCATTGAAAATTCAGGATTTTAACTTTCTCTGATTTGTGAATATTTTTCCTTTATCTTAAATAAGATATTTTTCTGGAATGTTTTTAGTCAATACAAGTTATAATTGACTTCCTCTAATTATCACAATGAGGGCATGATTCTCTGTTTTCACAACAATCAATGCATTACATGACTAATGCATATATTCCATTCACATGTACAAGAAAATACTGATAAATTGGATTGCAATACACATTACACTTAAACATTTTTCTCCACTTAAGGTAAACATTTTTCTCCACTTAAGGTTTTGTGATATATGTTTTGTCACAATTCATAATTATACCACACAATCCAACACAAGACACCTCCTAGTACTCAGATTTAAAAAAAAAAGGCCAGACATTTTTCTTCACACCAAACAGTTTTGTCGTACATTATCTTAGTTTAACCATACACATTTATTGACTAAAAAATCAAATTAATAGTGGACGGCATAAAAATATCACAAGAACACTATATCACAAGCACTGGCTCCTATAAGGTGGAGCCAATTTGTGGCAGTCGGGTTCGATTGTGCATCTGTGCAGACATTTCGTCTGTTATGATGTTATTTCTCCCCTTTCCACTCGATGTTCCACTTGTAAGTTTAGGTATCACTGCACTAGCGGTGTTGGCGGTAGATTTTCGGCGGGATGCGGAGTCTGCTCTATTATCTACCGTGGGCGGTTTTGGCAATCGACGTCGGAGCCAGGGGTGACGTAATGCTTGTCCAGGTGTCATCCGCGTTGATGGATCCCAGTCTAAGCAACGCTTCATGAAATCAAGGAAAAGTGGATCTTCGCATCCTTTTAGGGCTGTGACCATTTCTTTGCTACTCGGGGGACCTCTGGGCTTTCCTCGCCTGGAACGACAGCCGTTTAGCACAGTGCTGCCATCTGGTAGAGTGGTGACAGTGCAGTATCTAGGGTAGCCTTTGGAACTGATAAAATTCCTGGCTCGTTTGGACTGATCTAACAGCTTCTGAGGTGGCATACCTTGTAATTCTATAATACAGGCTAACTGGTCCCCTTCATCTTCTCCCGGGAACAAGGGATACCCTGTTAAAAGTTCAGCTAAAATGCATCCTAAACTCCACATGTCAATTGGCATTCCATACTTGGCTCCTAAAATGACTTCTGGTGCTCTGTAGAAGCGAGACTGAATGTATGTGTATATACGCTGATGTTCGTAACAACTGGAGCCAAAATCAATGACTTTGATGCCACTTCTTCCCTGCTGTTTAAGGAGAATGTTTTCAGGTTTGAGATCACAATGAATGATCCTATTTTTGTACAAAGCATCTAAACATTGCAATATGGAATGTGCAAATTTCCTCACAAGCTGCAAGCTAAATCCCTGGAATTTGTTTTTCTTGATCAGTTCATACAAATTCATGCTCAGAAGTTCAAAGGTAATACATATATGGTTACGGAATGTAAAATGTTCACTCATGTGAACAATGTTCATAGCGTTGTCCTTATCTTGTTTCTTGAGATGTTCTAAGATACGAATCTCCTCTTGAGCCTGACGATGAAATCGCTTCTCATTTCTCACCATTTTTAATGCTACATGTGAATTAATTTTATGATCATAAGCTTTAACAACCTGTCCAAAACTTCCTTTTCCAATGACTTTGAGCACTTCATAACGATATCCTATATGATCATGAGGTACATGTATATACGAGCCATTTTCATCGTCATAGCCATTATTATTAGCTCCCCCTACAACACCTTGGCGTTTTTTTGCATTTTGTCCCACAAAAAAGATAGAAGGATAGTTAAAAATTTCATGATGTTCAAAAGAAGTCAGCTTATGCATGAACTGTTTCATGGCAGACTCTGGACTCATTGAATTGTTACGACGAGCTGCAGCTGATCCTGTCTTGCTTCCTTGACTTCCAGCGCTAGAACTGGGCCGGATATTGGGCTGTGGCGCCTCTGACTCGGTCCCACCATGCTGAATGGTTACATGCTTATCGTGGTGGTGTTTATGGTCCTCATAAAGCTGCTGTACCTTGACTCCGTGTCCGGAATGGGCTGCAGTCGTGGTGACATGGGCGCTATGAGCTCCCCCGACAGTCTGGCTAGCAATCGGAGGAAGGTGGTGACTTGTGCCATCTAGAGTATTGTGTGTATACATATCTCCGGTGGTTAGCATTGATCGTGTTCTCTGCACTTGAACTGGCAGAGGTTTCACCCGGGTGGTCATGTTCCCCGGTTTTCGCTATTGATTTCACAAAATTCAGTTTTTAGAGTCCACATTTGATTTCCACAAATAGATCACATTATTTCCTTTTAATCCATAATTGTAAAAATCTACCTGATTTGTGGTTAACTTCTATCTAAATAGCGTTATTTCCACCACAGTCTGTTGCTATTTTCCACCATAAGTATGGAGGACTGGTTGCCAAGCACGACCTCTGTCGGTGAACGTCACAGTTGTTCTTTGTGTGTGACGTCATGGATACTGTGGTCACATGACAGATTTGTTAAAAACGTGAAGTAGTAGGGCCTACATCATTTTAGGGACAGGATTTAAATCGTATGAGAATGCGATTTTAATTGAAAATATATAATTGTTTACATTAAAACTCAGACAGAGACATTAATAACATTTATGTCCCTGGCGATTATGCAAATTATCACTTGAGAAAACGTGTTTCATCACATCATCATGATCATATCACCCACAAATAAATAAATAAATAAATTTATAAATACTTGTAAATAAATAATAAATAAATACATATAAATAAATAAATAAATAAATAAATAAATAAATAAATAAATAAAGACATTAAATTTATTGCTTAGAAGTACTGCTTTTTGCTTACCAAATATTCATTTTCCCCCCCTCTCTCTCTTTTGTTTTGATTATATTCGATAGGTTATTTGGGATTTAACTAATTATATCAAGAGGCTAAACAGATTAATATTAGCTTTTTAACTCGTGTCAAAATCTTTCTTGATGATTTTCTTCCATTGTGTGTCTGTACCTCAGTTATGCTTGTTATTTTGCAATTGGACTTTGTACACCCCCCCCCCCCACACACACACAAATAATGGTCGTTTTTGAATGGGGAGGGGCTAGAGGAAAATGACAATTAAATAACATGAAAAAATTTTGACAAACAAAATTAAACAAAAAAAAATTAAGAAATTCTCATAAACATGGCATATACATGTATATATACCTGTTTATGTAAAGCTATTGTGGCAAGTGTGGAAAATGTATCAAACAACTGTTCTGGAGTATTAGAGTCAATTTCATACCCCACCCCAACCTATGTGTATGAGATCATAAACAAACTTTTCTTTGTCCTTTGATCAAAAGACTACAAAAACAAAATCTTGATATGAAACAATTAATTATTTACGATGTGTGTCTACTAAAAATAACGGAAAGTATATTTTGGACAATTGATTATTTGAAAATTTAAGAAGGAATTACATTTTTTTCGAAAAGGCAAAGAAAAAATATTTTCCGAATTATTGCAAAACAGTCGGACAATTCTTTGTGGTAGAATAATCTTATACAATATTAAATAACATGATTAATCTTCTTAAAAAGTACAATATAATTTTATATCTCTTTCATTCTCAATATACTTGAATTAATTAAAAGTCCAGGATAAGGTCTGTGGCAACGCACTTTGAAAAAATTACGCACTTTAAAAAATTTTTTCAAAGTGCATTAAAATTGGGACAAAATCAACGCACTTTGAAAAAAATTTTCAAAGTGCGTTAAATTTGGGACCAACTCAACGCACTTTGAAAATTTTTTTAGTTTAAACTTTATTTCATTTAAATTAGACATCATATATACACAATACATAATACAAACAGGATTCGGAAACAAGTTGTAACAACTTATATTAATCCGTTTCCTTAAGTTAACTTTCAACTATAAATATACATTTGCCCTTGTTGAATGACAGGTATAATGGGAAAAATAACAGATAAAAAAATAAAGATGAAACAAAAATGAGAAGAAAAAAAACCTGTAGAGAGAGATATCATAACATGAATTAACATTGATAGTAAAATTTTTTCAAAGTGCGTTAAGAGTTTACATCAATATATTTTATCATGGAGACACTTAACGCACTTTGAAAAAATGTGTAAAAACAAAAAAATTCTGGATTCAGATTTTAGTAATGGAAATATTTTATTTGTAATTTATCTTTCAAAACACATGCATTGATTTACTCCCGTCGAGAGGAGGAGAAGACGGATAGAAGATCTACCAGTCCAAATCTTTATCATCGGTACATGTATGTCGGTAACAAATAAAACGGAGAGTGGGAGTAATAAATCCCCAAAAGGGTAAGCCGCATTTTCAATGCTTATATTATGTATATCTTTCCAAAATAAGTGGGGGGCTTAGCCCCCCTCCTCTTGTCCTTCGCCCGGTTTCGATGCCCGTGCTATACCCAAAACAGGTACATGTATGTTTAGTATGTATTTACATAATGGTATGACGTTGAAAACTTTCAATAAATTAGTTAATTTAAAACAGATGAAAACTAAAATAATGTCCAATAAAACGAGAGAGAAAGAACTTTTCATAGTTTTGAAAAATCAAATCTCCCCTTTTTCTTAAGAAAAATTCAATGCTTTAAGTCGTTCACTTTTAGTCCTCCCCCCCCCCCTCTTTTCATCTACCTATTACAGACTAGAATTTTTTCTAAAAGACCCGTTTCCCTTTTATAACTTTTACCAAAATCTAAGATATTTAAATATTCAATATCTCATGTCCTGAAGTGACTTCATCATAAAAAAAGTTACCCAACCATGATCAATTATGTATCATACGATTATTTGTGAGAACATTGATCAAGCTTTACATTTTCTTCAAAGTGCGTTAATATGGTCGATATTTACGCACTTTGAACAAAAAATATTTTTTTTCAAATTGCGTTAGCTTGGTCCCAAATTTAACGCACTTTGAAAAAAATTTTTAAAGTGCGTAATTTTTCAAAGTGCGTTGTAGCAAAGGTCACCATGCTGTCATCCCTTCTCTGTGAGGGCCGTATACGAAGGACTAACTAAAGGCACAAAGGCAAATTATTATAGAGGACCAGGGACCTATATACTAGTATATAGGTCCCTGAGAGGACAAATCCTTTCCCCTGAAATTCTAAGAGCCTGCATTGGAAAGAGTGGTATAGACAACAAAACACACTGTTGGAGTTTCGTCCAACACATTGACCTAATACATGTACATCGTCTCGAGCCATATGGTATGGGGTCCACAAATTTTTGGCTGTGATTTCGCTATGATGCGCCTTCTACTCCTTTTAAGGAATCTATAAACACTTAAGAACACAGGCAATAATAATTATTATTAGGTATGGCTATTTTTTTTCTTATTAAAAGAAAAATAAGTAACGTCGGGTGCCTGTGCTCATGCTGCTTAAGAATGACTTAATGACATTCAAGACAATTGTATTTTACATATATCATTTTATCTATTCAATGCACAGGCACCTGACGTTACTTATTTTTCTTTTAATAAAAAAAATATACACATACCTAATAATTTTACGTTTATTATTATGTATATGTATATTTTTTTTATTAAAAGAAAAATAAGTAACGTCAGGTGCCTGTGATTCAATGTTGTTTACTTACATCCGGAAATTTTCAGTAACTTTATCTTTGGTTGATGTAAAACAATCAAATACTTTTATTATTTCAAATTGAGCCATTTCCCCACACGTGAGATGGGGTATTTGTTAATAATCTGCAAATTCCAGGAGTTTGTGTGTGTGTGTGACTCCTCCCTTTCTAGTCCCGCTCATGATTCACTGCAATTCTTGTTTATTTCATACTCTATCAAAAGTGTAGATTGCAGTAGACAGTGCTTAGAGCTTTACATCCCTAGAAAATTTTGAAGTTTTAACAAGTTCCACATCATGCATATGATGATTGTATTGTCATAACATCCCATTCTTGAATTAAAAAAAAACACGGATATATAACAGACCTCTGTTTCACATTTTCTCTGTTGTACGTAATTTGACATTTACCATGTAGGTACAGAGACCCACGATGAAGTTACACTTCCTCCTCTCTGAGTAAATTCATCAACGTCAACACTTGCAACTAGAAATACTTGATAAAAATAAAAGAACACAGGGTAATTTTCTTTCCACTTAATTTTAATGTATTTAAATTTACCTATCTTGAATATTAGAGTCTTTCTCAACCCATAAGCAAAACAATGATGGAAAAATAATTTCTATGACATTTCTGCAACATGTGGCACTGAGATTTATATGTATATGGAACATTACTGATAATTTATCATAAGGTTCACATTAAGCAAATCTGGTGATAAAAAGAAATAACTTTTTAACTTAAATTGGTGGTAAAAAACTTTTAACTTAACATTTTTAAAAGGAATACCATGGAATCATCATTGTTTGTGGGGGACCAATGTTTGTGAATTTTGTGTCTCCCTTACCCATGACTTTACATCCCCACAAATGTCTATTTTGTAAACATACTGATTTAACAATACACCTTGTCAGTACTAATAAGTGACCCACAAAATTATGTCTTCAAGAACAAGTAAAATTATGCTTACACACCAACATTTACCCCCACAAATTAAAATGATTCTACATTATTGAGGAGAAATCTTAAAATGATTCCAGAGAATTAATTATTACCAGTGTGAGTTAATAAGTAAAAATTTTGTATCCATACTGATATACATATGAAATTTCATTTCTGCTCACAATTCATACTCTCAGGGGTATCAGGGACTAAGGCACGAAGGGTGGGTGGGGTGAATAAAATGCTCATAGAAAAATAGGCTTGCTGTAGTAAAAATAATGCTCTGGATGCTCTGTATAAACTTAAGGCACACCTGATAAAAGAGGGGGACAATGGGGGGGGGGGGGGGGTACTGGGGGCATAATAATGTCTGACAATGAAATGGGGGAAAATGTACATACCCAAAGTTTGAAACACATATTTTACAACAATGTGCATAGAAGGACACTGGCTTAACTGTCTATACTTTTGCTTTAGCAGTCAATAAACTTTGTTTTGACTGAACTTTACAAATTGCACAATGAACAATGACATCACAATGGTGCACAGTCTAAAAATAGTCAATGATGAAAAATATTAATATTTCTGACTTAATTACTCAGTCTGTACATTTGCAAAATATAAGTTGAAAATGCTTGGCACAAATAAACAACATATTGTAGTCACAAACACAAAGCACCAAGTAATATCAGCTAAGAAAAAAACCCAAACACTTTTCTTCAAGTTAAATGTACACGTCATTCATCCATTCATTACATGTCTTTTTTTCAGGTCTCACACACAGGAATTGACAGATATAAAATTAATTTCCAGTGAATGATTTAACATTACACAGTATTGAAGAAGACTTGAAATAATATGACTCCTTGTCCAACACCAGCAACTCGGTCAAAAAAAAAATCCTAGTCTGAGCAACCACACAAAATGGAAGCAGTGATGTGTAAAATATCCATTCTGAGCATTACATCTGCAGAAAAAATGATAGCCTTCTAGCCCTTGTATAAATACTAACTAGAAAATGTGCCTAAATATCTACAGTAATATCACAATCAGAAGTAAACACCATGCATAATCAATAAATTAACCACTTCAAATATAAAACAATAAATGCAATTCAAGACTATATATACATGTACACATGTTTATCTAAATCTCTATCACAGATCTATGCCATATATATTTAAAACAACAGATGTTTTAAAACACTTATGTCCCCTCCCCCCAAATTGGAATTTTTCAAAGTCCAAAAGGGCATAACTCTGTCAAAAATGGCGCGATTGTACCAAAAACAGAACTTGACTTGACCTAGATAGTCATCTGATAAATCTGTATACTATATTTGATTTCAGTATGTGCAACCTCTGCAAAGAAAATGAAGAGAAACTGCAAATAAATGGAATTTTTCTAAGTCCAAGGGGCATAACTCTGTCAAAAATGATGCAATTGTACCCAAGACAGAACTTGACCTAGATATTCATCTGATATATTCATCTGATATATCTGATTTTTATGGGAACCTTAAAATTTTTTTGTTTAACTGGTGATTCAGGTATCCGGATGCTTCACATATCCGGACAAATTGGCTGGGAACCTAAGCGTCCGGATAAATGAGGCTCCACTGTATACCAAATTTTGTTTCAGTATGTGCAACGGTTGTGAAGAAAATGAACGGAAACTAAGTGGACCAACTGACAGACAGCAGCAAAGCAATATGCCCTCCCTTCTTCGAAGGGGGGCATAAAAATGTATGCATATCACAACAATAAATAAATTATCATCTGTCATAGGATACCCAAATTCTGGAGAAAGTGAAATTTGATTATTTGTAGTTTTTAATTTCAAACTTATTTACTGCATGCAAAATTAGATTGAATTTGCATAATGTTTTTGTAAATTACTTTTAAGGGATTTTTTTTTTCATGTCTTTGCATTGAATCACAATACATTGTCAAGCTTATTTAACTTCAATCTAAATGGGACCAAGCAAAAACTTTTGGATATCCATGGCTTTGAGACATCAAAGATAAAATACTTAAAGAACAAGGGAATAAGAACTTTTCACATCAAAATGACATTCAAGATATCAATTTTATAGATACTGACTGTATATATTTATACTGTAGATATAAAAGTATACAATGAAGATTAGGGGGAAATTTTAAAAAGCTGACTTGATAGGGAAAATTTCCTGATAAAAATAATTTTAGCAAATTATCAAACATGCATGCGCTAACTGTATTACAGATATCTCTGACACTTTTTTTTTGAGTATCCTATGTCCTTAGTATTTCATACAATTTGCAATCCAACATCATATTAACATAACAATCTTGACAAGAAAATATGTCAAAGCATGAAAGGTTGCAACTTTCTGATTCAGAGGACAATACAATGAGAGGTTCATCAGCTTCTAAGGTCACATGTCTGTCATGTGACACAGCCCTGAATTAATCTCCTGCCAGGAGCTGATAGATTTCTGCGAGGATCGAATTCTCGGAATTCCAGTGGTATGGCTATACTGGTATCAACTCTTCTGAAAAATAAAATTGAGAGATACAGAAAAATAGCCAGTATGTACATAGGAAATAGGAATACAGTATAATTATGTCCTGATTAATAGATTAAAGATCTTTGAATAAAAAAAAATTTTTAAAACAAACATGCAAATTCAATTTAGTGACAATGTGTAAAATAGTGTGCTCATGCATTGTGATTAAAATTGACATTAATCAACAGTTTATATATAGAAATTCTGGGAGACATCCTCACACACATACTTGTGAACACACTGGAGAAACTGCATAACAGAATGTGTGAAATCAGTAATAAAGTCTGGTTAATAAAAAGTACTGTGACATGTCATTTCTTTGCATTCAGGTAGAAAATTCAAACCAGTATCCAATCCATATAACCCCTGTGAAATCACTGTACATCAAGATTTACTTCAATGTTGAATTTATTTATAATTCAGAGAGGTGCCTCTGTTTTTGACTGTGGTCTACTGTAAACCAACTTTATTTCATGTGCGAGAATTATCCGCAAGTTTCGCAACACACTTTCACGTGCGAGTATTTATCGCCCTGAACCACATTTTTTGCTTTGTATTTGCAGTGAATGTTTCATCAGTTGCAAAAAATAATTGTCGCAGATCAATTTCAAACTGATGAATCGCAAATAATAGTTGGTTTACAGTATTATACAGAGAAATACTCTGGCTATTTAACTTATTTGTAAGGGTAGTTGATCACTCTTTTGTTTGCGTATGAAATAAGACTTGATGTACAGTGTCTGAGATCACTCCTTATCACACAGTACCATCGGAATCCAGCTGATTATCATCTGACCCCTTGGGAAACAGAAATTAATTCTTATTTACACACACAAAAAAGAAAGGTGTTAAGCTTTAAAAAAATGCTTGGTTAATCAAAGATTACAAAGCTCACCTTATCTATAAATAATACTAAGTCTCACATAAAAAAAATGTTCTGGAAATGTACATCCCAAGATACAATTAACTGCACAAATTAGATCTATAATATGTACAGTCTGGAAAATGGACCTGCTCCAAACTAGAACTGTCCAAACGGGACAAAATACCCCCGCTGGGTTTTTCAGAAGTAAGTTTTTCCATAAGAAAGATATGGACAGGACACAAATTATGAAATTTTTCTTCCAGTGACCTTGAACTTCCCCAAATGACCTTGGGTCAAGGTCATGACACACCCTTGGGTTATGGGCAATCTTTGTGTGAAATGAGAACCTACAAAGTTTATCCATAAGAAAGATATGGACCGGACACAAATTATGAAATTTTTCTTCCAGTGACCTTGAACTTCCCCAAATGACCTTGGGTCAAGGTCATGACACACCCTTGGGCTATGGGCAATCTTTGTGTGAAATGAGAACCTACCAAGTTTATCCATAAGAAAGATATGGACCGGACACAAATTATGAAATTTTTCTTCCAGTGACCTTGAACTTCCCCAAATGACCTTAGGTCAAGGTCATGACACACCCTTGGGTTATGGGCAATCTTTGTGTGAAATGAGAACCTACCAAGTTTATCCATAAGAAAGATATGGACCGGACACGAATTATGAAATTTTTCTTCCAGTGACCTTGAACTTCCCAAATGACCTTGGGTCAAGGTCATGACACACCCTTAGGTCATGGGCAATCTTTGTGTGGAGTAGTAGATTCTAATGTTCCTCTGTAAGAAAGATATGGACTGGACACGTTTGCACAGACAGACGGACGGACGGACAGACAGACAGCTAGACAGACAGACGGACAAGGTGATTCCTATATACCCCCCAAACTTCGTTTGCAGGGGGTATAAAAATTCCACGTCCAAAGCATATCTGGTATGCAACTACGGCCAAAATAGGGCTTATAGTTACTTGAAAATGGACAAGTTCTAAAACTTTAACCTGTTCATTCATTTGTAAATTGAAGGTCAGATCCAGCATCTCAGGCGCATCTGTGGGGTTGGGCAAGCTGGGGCTAATGTGACTTGGAAATGAACCTGCTTCAATGAATGAAGGTCATGCAGATCCAGCATCAGAAGCAAGACTCCAGTATCATGCAGATCCAGCATCAGAAGCAAGTCTCAGGGTGAGTGAATCCCTGCGGTATCTATGCAGTTTTGGTTCAATTGGGCTTATAGATAAATGAACTTGGGAATGAACCTGCTCTAAAACTTTAATTTTCTCTCACTGGAAAATTGAGCTCAAATCCAGCATCTGAAGCTAACCAAGTAAGAAGTTTAGCAAGTTTGGTCCATACTGGGCTTGTAGTTACTTTGGAATGGACCTGCTCCATAGTCTGTCATCTGAAAAATGTAATTAAAATCCAGCATCTGAAGCAAGTCAAAATAAGTACATACTTAGATGTATCATCCATATGATGCAAGTTTAGTCCAAAAGGCTGGAAAATAATTAAAGAAGGAGATGAACCTGTTCCAAAAACTTGAACATGGTCACTAATACCGATACTGCTATGAAGTCATATACACTATCCAAAGCAAGTTTGGTCCTGTTAGGGCTTATTACTGAGGAATGGATCTGCTCCATTATAAAACTATTATCAGGATACTGAGACCTAACCTGAAGCCAGGCTTAGGGATACATGTATAGCATAAACTTAACTGCCAGTCATAATACTCATATTTTGTCCAAACAGGTCTTGTTTTTGTTCTCAGTGAATTTTGCTTATTAGATGTGTTAAATCACTTATGATTTTTGGTACAAAATCAATACTTTCATTGCTACTTCTTTGCATCAATCATTTAACAAAGCTCTCTCTGCTACATTCAGCAAGCTTTGAAAGTATTTTTATTTAATGACACATAGCCGCACATTCTATATATGGATCTTCATTAGTAATTTATGAATGAAGTTGGCAAAGTAATCTTTGGACAAGAGAAATGTAAAATTTATGTCCTAATTTTGCATTTTCTTCAATCAAATCTCAATATAATACTACAACTTTGTCTGAAAATAAATTCTTTTAAATCATGAATGATTTGAGTAAATATGGGATCATGAAATAACAGCTACTAAGTTGTGAAAAACTAATTTCAAAATCATCGTAATTTTGTAATATCTATATTTATGAAGAACCTAAAAGTAAGCTGAACATTGTACTATAACATGCATTGTTTAAAATAAGCAAAATTTGTTACAATAGCTTGAAGACTGGTCATAACAGGGAATTTTTTTTTTAATACTTTCTTATTATACCATAAAAACCTCATCTTTTAAAGATGAAATCTTGAATACACAGGGATACATTGAGCCAATTACATCCAAGGGGATCTTCCTTAATGGATCAGACGTGGATTTAGATGCATAAACCAGTCAGTTCCCAAGCAGAATGGAGCAGTTTTTTTAAATCATGAATGACTCAGTCTCATTGATTTTTGGTCCTTACAAATTCCAGTCTGCGAACTTGAAGAAAATTAGGAGCAGAGTGATTGCTAGTGTGCTTATAAACACGGTGAAGAAACAGTTCTTCCGTAAAAATTGTGTGATAGTCACATGTGATAATAGTGTGGGTACACAATCATAAATAAAGGTCTTGACATTTAAAATTTCAAAAATTTTCACAAAAATTGTGAATCAATTAAAACTGTGAGTGAATATCTTAAACCTATGATAAATAGGTACCCAGTGTACTAATTATTTTAAGCATGTTGAGAAAACCACACAATATATGATATGGCTCTGTTCTAACTAAAATTGTAGATATATGAAAAAGGATAAGTATAAAAAGTCTGTATGTAACAACATTAAATGCAGTCAGGAAGGAGACTTAAAAATTCCAAAACACACTGAATGTGTAGCTATTAGGAATGATTCGACTAGCTATAATCCAGTCACCTTGGATGCTTCATACTTGAATTCTAATCTATAGTAACTGTTTTAATTTCCTTTTTTTGTAGCCTTCATTTCCTCCAGGAAAGGACTAACTGGAAGTAACTAAATTTTCATACAGAAAAACCGTTTTGGGTAAGTTTGCCAGTATACATATGTCAACAACTGTACATTAACCTATTTTGGTTCCTGATTTCACCAATACAGTACTAATAAATATACATACTAGCCTACCCAAAAAGGATGTTTTCAGTTTTTGTTTTTTTTGTAGAAGATTTGACATTTATGTTGAAGATTTTGTACTTATAGTGCAGAAAAGCGATTTTCACATGAATAAATTATATACCATATAATCCCTATTAACCGCCCCTGGTGCTTAGAAAATTGCAATTTTAACTTCAAGAAATCTTTTGAAAAAAAATAAATAAATACAAGAAACCACTAAATTAATGTCTACCGGTAACTTTATTTAAAGTGAAGATAATCCACCCAAATTATGCTAAATTATTCATTTTCCACTGAGAAATAGGATAATAGACAAGTTTCATTTTCACTTTCTTCATTTTTTGATACGATTCTTGTTGATTTTAATCACCATACAGGGGGCCCGTATTTCCTGACAATTGAAAAAGACCTAAGGGGGCCCTTATAGGGGCAGGGGCGGTTAATAGGAATTATACGGTATATGGATAAATTGAGAAAGCAGAAAGGTCTGATTCTATGATTTAAAATTTTTCTAAAAAATTAAACTCAGTTTCCATAATAAAAATCTTTTATAAAATAACTATACATTTCCAAACAACTAAAACCTAGAAATCTGTGTGTGCAATTTGTCTTAAATTGCTACCTTGAGAAATTTTACAACTATTACATAATGTGTACTTCTTTCTGAAAAACAAACAGCTTTTGAATACCAGTACTAAACTGTGTGACAATCTAATTTAAAAGTCATTTAAATGAACCATGCATCCTATCCTCTGAGAAAATGACAACAAAAAATAAAAACCAACATGCAATACCCCCACCACACCAGTGAAATACAGTGATACGTCAAAGATAGATAAAGACACATCAGTTAATTAGTTAATTACCTGTAGTTCTACGTAAGACGGGACATAAGGGCGGTGCCTGGTCAGTCTGCATTAAAAAGTTAGTCATATTAGAGCTATCCGCAGTCCTAGCATTATGGTATACTGTCTAGTTCTATTATTTTTATTTATTATATAACATGCTGCATCAATTAAACAAGACATAATCATCAGTTGAAAATTTATCGCTGAATAACTTTTATAATATATTTCTCATGCATTGTTATATTTGAGACATTCCTTTAATCAATTTAAAGTATCTAAACAACTTGTTTCATGCAATGCAAATCTATTTGTGCATTTAAAAAAAAAACAAACAGATTAAATTAAAAAAAATTCAATTTACACTCTACAACTGATTAAAATTATAATTCTGTTTAAAACTTAGTCATTAAACCTAAATAAAGCTCTACATTATTAAAGCTTTCTATCAATTTTAACTAGCTTTTTTCAATTATTTGTAAAGAAAACAATATAAATCTACGCAAACTATAATATAATTTGACACTTCAAATAAAATAAAATTTTTTGAGAGTACCATAAATAATCAATAACACATATTTATATCAGAAAGAATAACACACAAGAAAAAAAGGAAATTAAATTGTCATTATCTCTCATAATATCAAGGTATAAATAACAAACCAAATAAATCATTATTTGTTATGTCACTATCAGCCAAGTTTCCATGCACTCAAACCAGTAAGATTTGGAGATCAATTTAAGAAATGCTCAAAACCATGCTTTGTTAGTTTCAACAACATTCCACAACCAATATCCTATTTAATCAAATGTAAACATAACACACGTGAACACCTTTACTTCAATGACAAATTTTCTATTCAATTGTGTATCAAAAAAAGCTCGATCTGCAATTCCCAATTCTAGATTTCGATGCAAAATTCATACATGTACTACTACATGTGTACATGACTAAAAAAGATAAGTTTGTCATTTTAAATATAAACTAAAAATAACGCAAGTTAACCAAGTTCAAGATGAATTAATAGTCCTTTAAATTTATCTTTAAAGAATTCTATAAACATGCAGTTATTTCTCTACTCCCTATTTAGCTTAAAGTCATAGGATATGTCAAAAAGCATGTTCCACACACTAGATATACATGTACAAATCAGAAAATAACCCGAGCTCTGCCATTACCAGGTTAATGATTGAAACCAAACAATCTGCTCTGTAAAACTTTAAAATTCCCTCTCCCCAATAAAAAAAAAATATTAACAATAATATTAACATGGTCAATCCATAGTATGCCTTACATTATACTTTCTGAACTTCGATAGGCTAGTTTTTGCCGTCGTCTATTAGTATGGTGAAATCTAAGACAAAAATTATAACTAAAAATCAAAACTGTTTCAAAATAAAAAAAAAAGGAAATGTTTTTAGTTTTTTTCCAGGAGAGAATCAATTTCTTTCTCCATTTTTTTTTTTATCAACACATACATATTAAGCAAAGAGGGTACAGCACTTAGAAATGGCATGCTAACATAGAGAAAACACACTAATCCCTGCTTGTGTAAGGGACATAAATCTGTCGTAAATTCCATGTATGATATTGGGCTACAATGCTCACCCTGGCCAATTTCATTTACAATAATCTATCTTACATGTCATTGTGGCCCCATTCTACCATCAGGTGTATCTTTATAATTTATGCTACCTGTAAATGATTTCTTATTGATTTGATATACTTTTGATGTGCTGTTATTTAATTTTCTTGAAAAATTCCATAGTCCTAAGAAAGGATTTGAATACATAAATTATTATATATATGTATAAACATGTAACTGTTTGGTCCTTTTTGCAAAAAAATTTTGTTAGAAAATCATACTAAGATGATCAACAATATTTTTCCTATTTTGCCATTACATTTATCTCCCTTTGACATTGTACACTGTCTTTAATTATTAAAGAATTAGAATCCTTTTTTTTTTTTTAAATGAATACTTTGTTGACATTACAACTGAAACTGGACTAAAGGTTCCAGAGAAGAAACTAAAATAAGTTTACAGACTTAACAAACAACAAATAGTACCACTGTAAATGCTCCTGACAGACAGATGCCAGCATTTTTGAATCAGAATAGCTCACATAAGCAAATAACTTAGGAGAGCTTAAGAAATCACAAGCAGAAATTAATTCCATGGGTGCAAATGGACAAGTTCACTCTGTGGCTGATTCTGTGAAACTGGTCACAAACACCTTATAATAACTGATTCTAAAGGGAGACAACCAGCCAAACATCAAGAGTTACCTTTTCCTGTTTAAAGATTGCATATTTAGCAATGGTCCTATTTTGACGTATATCTCCCTACAGAAATAGACATGTCAGTATATATAGAAGCTTTTTGATTTAAAGGAGTAAAAATAACAAGCATGTATATCACTTTGTAGCAGTGAGTGACTAGACTAAACAGTGAATTTGAAATATATCGGTATATAGTGAACATTGTTACAGGTGTGAAGTTAATCCTTAGAAAGTAAATTACATTCCTAAAGCATGGCAAATGAATTATTGTTAAAGCCATCTACTTAAATATATATATATTAGCATTGTTTTCATAAAGAGAAATACTAAAAAGAAAGGGAATATTATGATTCTTGTTTATGCTTTAAAGAAGCCTTACATTTTCTATACATGCATGCAAGTTGATATGAATTTTTAAGATGAGTTTAAATTCTACAAGATAACCAGTACGTAGGACAGGGATGTCTGTACAATAGTCAGATGAACAGAATTCTCCATACAGAGATACTTACTTGACAGATTCAATCGGAGCCTCTTTTTTGTCATCAGTAAGTGACGTGAGTGACCTAGATAATGGGACTAGAGAGGAGTCATATGACGTGCCCGGATTTCCGTAATGATCCACCCCTGTACCTCCAATCTCTCCTCCCCAAGCACTCCTCATCCCACTCCGACCTCTGGAGGGGCTACAAGCACAGCAATTCATATAAATAAAAATGAACAAAAAATACTGTTTTCTTGAGAGGTAACAACAGGGCACCCAAGATTAATCTAATACAGTAACGTACAGATAAAACAATGTATTCCTAGCTACCCATAAAAAAATTGTAACTTCATAAATTGTCAAAATTTTAAATAGATGTGGTAATACATATCTATTACAACAAAAATAATAATAGCATTTTATATAAAGTTTTACTCCAATTAGATAAAAAGTTAAGTTTAGAGTTTATCATAATTTTACATTTCTATATATGTGACTTACCTAAACTTGAAGTCTTTAGGGAGAGAAAACCCTTGCAGAGCTTGAACTCTGGATTTCATCAACTGTTTCTTAAAATCCTTCCTGGCATTGCCATAGCCGTTAAATATATGATCACAAAATAAAAGTTTTCCATTCAAGTAGATCTGTAAATGTATAATGAAAAGTAGCTAAGAAAGCATTTACACTCAGAAGTCAAACTGAGATGAAGAGTTATCCCTCTTGTTCATCTTTGTTCTGTCTATTGATGCACACAAACTTGAAAAAATTAATTTCACACATGTTTGCATTGTAACATAAATTTTATAACTCTTCCTTCCCTTGTAAAACCATTTTATTTTTTTCACATAACCCATTTTTTTCAGTAGAATAAAGCATTTAGAATCAATACTTATCCTAGAGATTAATTTGTAAATTCTCACCAGAAACATTCCGGGGACTACGTTATGTCTGGTCAGTAACAGAGGCTGTGTGTGATCGGAACCCTCTGATGCTGTGTTAATATCGTACTGGAAAATCCTGAACAAGTCCGTCCGGCTCTGGACACAAGGCTTGGTTCGGTTCCGGTTCTGGGATAGGTAAATCTCCTCTATCATCTGGTCTGACGTACTGGTGTGGGGAAACCTGCCGAAATGTTTATATCTCATTAAACATTCCATACTTACTGGTATTAAGAAAATTTTCTTTCTATGGAAAGTATTTTATGGAAGTTAATTGGGCACATAGTTTTATGTATAATTTGAATGGCTATCACAATTTTTTATGATTATTATACACCCAATTAATTCAAGTTAACCTAAAATAAGAAAAACCTAAGAGGTGATTTTAAAATAACCTACATTGATGAAATAACTGCGACAACAATAAGCTGACTCTCTGGAGCCTCAATCTGGATAAATTCGTCGTATTCTATGTCCATGATCTGGGGAATATAATGGCGGCTACAGCGACACATGGGCTGGTCCAATCCCAGAATCCTCTGGCGGAGAGCTATTGGACAGGGAATCTTGGTGGTGGACTGCTGATTGGTTGACGTTTCCGAGCGGAATGTGGCAGTGTTCTGGCGAGACAAGGGGGCGCTGGACACTGCGGAGGCATTACTTCTGGCCGAGCGTTTACCCGCAGAGCTACAACATAACGTACATTTACAGATACATTCACACAGCTTTAAGACATTAAACGTCCAAAACAAGACTCTGAGTTTATAATTTCATTTTATTCTGTTGATTTCTCTAAACACTGTGAATGATTTTGAAACTACATAACACCAAACACTGCTTGCTAATTTGAAGTCTTTAAGTTCTTCACAATTTTTTTTCCATAAAGAATTCTATTTAGAACTTCTCCCTTCTAATGTTCTTATATCTCAGCCTGGTTTAAAAGAAGTCTCTGATGAGACTGTAGCTCTACTGGTTTGTTGTAGAGACTCACAGAGTAACTTGTAACTAAACAGATAAAGTAAATCATATACGTACTGACTTACTGTGAAAGCCTCTCAAACATGGCCATAGCTGTGGGTGATTCCCCCTCCCCCATCATATAAGTACTGAGTTACTGTGAAAGCCTTTCAAACATGACCATAGCTGTGAGTGATCCCCCCCTCCCCCATCATATAAGTACTGACTTACTGTGAAAGCCTTTCAAACATGGCCATAGCTGTGAGTGATCCCCCCTCCCCCATCATATAAGTACTGACTTACTGTGAAAGCCTTTCAAACATGGCCATTGCTGTAGGTGAGGCAGTCTCCACCTCATCTTCCAGGTCTTGAGGACTGTCGTCAAACTTGACCGCGCTCTGGTTCCCACCCTTTGGAGTTTTTTTGGACTTAGAGGTCTCCATATCAAATGATTTAGAAGTGTCCGATCTTCCCTTCACTGTAAGAAAATTGCATTTATCATCTTTGATTAAAAAAAAAAATTAGTGAAATTTACCTGGTAACTACACCTATTTAAAGAAATTAATCCAAAATATTATTTTTAAATTGCAACATATTAGGAAAGATTATTGTAAAAGTTTGGTTCAGGTTTGAATATTCAAATACAGTACATGTATATAATGTATATAAAATTCATATACAATCTTTTATTGTTTTTGTTTTTAAAATATTTAATAAAAATTTCATTATTGTGCTTGAAATATAATGCATGCGTAAATTTATTTACATCTAAAAAAAGCCCCCAAATGGGGTAGAATTGTAAGGATGCGTGCATTATGATCAGACATGCAGTGTGAAAAAAAAAATATAACCAATCTCTAAGAATCAGTGCATGCAAAAATTGAAGTAAGGTTAAAATGAAATAAAGAGATGAAGCCTGTATTAATATTGAATGATTATGAATAGAAAATGTCTGCCTTGTCCAAAGTTATCGTTAAAATGTCCATCCAATAACCCTGTTACTAGATTGTTCTCTTATAATTAATTAAAGAATTCGTTAAATAAGAGATTAGCATAGTTAAATTAATGAAGTTGAATGTATCACCCTGACCTAAATTAAAGAAGATCAATGATTCCATAAACAGACATGGCCATACATTAATGGTAATATACAACACTGAATGTATCTACTACATGCAATAAATTACCTAGGCAGTCCCCTATAGAAGATTTAAATAGAGATATTATAGAAGTAGAAATTGTGTATATATACTAGAGATAGAGATATAGTGAGGACTAGGGAGGTACTACAGATTTACTTACTACCAGAACACTGAGTGACAAACACAGGGTTGTCATGGACTACGGGGTCTGATAACAAACGCAAGAAAGGCTCGTAAAAGGACTTATACAGTTAGAGGGGAGTCTTATAAAATGCTAGAAAGGGAGAAGAACAAATTGTATCAAACATGAATCTTTTAATATTGTTATTAACAAAGTGCTCTCTGTTGCTTTTATCTATAGGTGTAATTTTTTAAACATTCATATACAAGGTTTAGGGAAAAAATCTTTGGTGAATGCAAAATCTGGAAGTGCAAGTATATGTTTACTGGGTAAAAAATGTGCATTATTGATAATATGAAATTGAAAATTTTATAACAATCTTAGTGTACTCAATAGTGAAGTAAAAATCAATAACAAAAAAAGTAAAAAACAAAATTGTCTTCATACCAAGAGGTGCTGAGGGAGTTCTCTGTTTCTTTAGATCTACCAGAGTCTCCAGTCCGAGGTGTTTCAGTCTGGCGGCCTGCCCGCTGTCTGTTAATTTAGCAGACTGTATATTGCGTGCTTGAGAGGTAAAGTCTGGAGAGTCACGGACGTTCATCATGTGAGGTGACTTTAGTCCGATGGCTAAGCGGTAATGTTCCAACCAATCGTCAACAAGATTCCTATGACAACAAAATATATAGTACATTTATTTATTCAATTTCAAGTAGTTTACATCTGTTACTTAGTTCAAGAAAACTTAGAGAAGATCTTTAGCTCACCTGTTGTTAAACACTGAGATAATCATGTGAAAATTTAATTTTCAGCATGGGTATAAAAAAAGCTTTCTGTAACTTTGTAATAGATCAATTTTGTCCTGCTTTGATGTGTTTATTTTACTTGTCTACGTTCTGGATTTATTTTAACTTTGTCTGTTTTGCGATTGTGTCTATTTCCCGTTTTGTGTTTTACTTGCAACTGTCTATTTTCTGGACACAGGTTTACTTCTTATTCTGTGTTTTACTTGTCTATTCTCTGAACACTGTTTTAATTGTTTATTTCCTACTTTGTGTTTTACTTGTCTATTTTCTGGACACTGTTTTACTTGTCTATTTCCTATTTTGTGTTCTACTTGACTAATTCCTATTTTGTGCTTTACTTGTCTATTCTCTGAACACTGTTTTATTTATTTCTTATTTTGTGTTTTACTTGTCTATTTTCTGGACACTTTTTTATTGTCTATTCTCTGGGCACTGTTTTCATTGTTTATTTCCTATTTTGTGTTTTACTTGTCTATTTTCTGGACACTTGTTTATTTCCTATTTTGTGTTTTACTTGTCTATTTTCTGGACACTGTTTTAATTGTCTATTCTCTGGGCACTGTTTCACTTGTCTATTTCCTATTTTGTGTTCTACTTGTTAGGTCACCTGAGTCACTCAGGTGACCTATTGCTATCTGTTTTTGTCCGTCGTCATCCGTTGTACATCGTTCGTCGTCAATCGGTCGTAAACTTTTGAACATTTTCAGCTTCTTCTCTGGAAAGGCTGAGCCAATTTCAACCAAATTTGGTATACAGCATCTATGGGTGAAGGGGAACAAAAATTGTGAAATTCATGGCCCCTGCCCCCCTGGGGCCTGAGGGGTGGGGCCAAAACCACCAAAATTAATGCAATCTTTAAAAATCTTCTTCTTTACTCCTGGACATCTAGCAGTCAAACTGTTGGCATGATGATAATCAGCATTGACTCCTCTACCAAAATTGTGAAATTCATGGCCCCAGGGTCAGGGGTTCTGGGGTTAGGGCGGGGTTATATAGATCATATAGGAAAAGTGCATTATTTCTTTGAAAATCTTCTTCTTGCTCCTGGGTATTAAATAAATTAACCAAGTATATAGTTATGATGAGCAAGAATGCCTCTTTCAAAATTGTGAATTTTATGGCCCCTGGGTCAGGGGTTCTTGTGTTAGGGCAGGGCTCTATTGATTATATAGTGAAAATACATTAATTCTTTGAAAATCTTCTTCTCTGCTCCTGGGTATTAAATAAACTAACTAAGTATGTAGTTTTGATAAGCGAGATTGCCTCTTCCACAATTGTGAATTTTATGGCCCCTGGGTCAGGGGTTCTGGTGTTATTGCGGGGCTTTATTGATTATATAGTGAAAATACATTAATTATTTGAAAATCTTCTTATCTGCTCCTGGGTACTAAATAAATTAACTAAGCACATAGTTATGATGAGCAAGAATGCCTCTTTCAAAATTGTGAAATTTATGGCCCCTGGGTCAGGGGTTCTGGTGTTAGGGCTGGGCTTTATTCATTTGATAATATAGTGAAAATAAATTAATTCTTTGAAAATCTTCTTAAATGCTCTTGGGTATTAAATAAACTAACTAAGCACATAGTTATGATGAGCAAGAATGCCTCTTTCAAAATTGTGAATTTTATGGCCCCTGGGTCAGGGGTTCTTGTGTAAGGACGGGGCTCTATTGATTACATGATGAAAATACATTTATACTTTGAAAATCTTTTTCTCTGCTCCTGGGTATTAGATAAATTAACTAAGTATATAGTTATGATGAGTAAGAATGCCTCTTCCATAATTGTGAATTTTATGGCCCCAGGGTCAAGGGTTCTTGTGTTAGGGGAGGGGGGGGGGCTCTATTGATTATAGTGAAAATAAGTTAAATCTAAGTGTTTAGTTATGATGAATAATGGTTCCTTTTTCAAATTTTGAATGCCATGGTGTCTAGTTTAAAACATGAACTAAACTCAATCATTGGAAAGTTGTTGCATGATGCTCAGGTGACCTATAAGGCCCATGGGCCTCTTGTCTATTTTCTGGACACTGTTTTACTTATTTCTTATTTTGTGTTCTACTTGTCTATTTTCTGGACACTGTTTTAATTGTCTATTCTCTGGGCACTGTTTCAATTGTCTATTTCCTATTTTGTGTTTTACTTGTGTATTTCTGGACACTGTTTTAATTGTTTATTTCCTATTTCGTGTTTTACTTGTCTATTTTCTATTTTAAGTTTTACTTGTCTATTCTCTGTACACTGTTTTAATTGTCTATTTCCTATTTTGTGTTTTACTTGTCTATTTTCTATTTTAAGTTTTACTTGTCTAATCTCTGTACACTGTTTTAATTGTTTATTTCCTATTTTGTGATTTACTTGTCTATTTCCTAATTTGTGTTTTACTTGTCTATTTTCTGGACACTGTTTTACTTATTTCTTATTTTGTGTTTTACTTGTCTATTCTCTGGGCACTGTTTTAATTGTTTATTTCCTATTTTGTGTTTTACTTGTCTACTTTCTGGACACTGTTTTAATTGTCTATTTCTTGCATTGTGTTTTACTTGTCTATTTCCTATTTTGTGTTATACTTTATTTCTTATCTTGACCTCCTTACCTGGCCTTCCTCTGAAGCCTGGCCAGTTCCTTGTCTGATTCCAGCTCATACTGCGCCTTGTCTGGGAAGTCCACTAACAGCTTCTGTATCTCTGCTAAATGTCCCTTTTGCTACAAAATAAGGATATGGTCAACATTGGCAATATATTGTCAAGTTCAATTCTTGTGCAATTGCAAATAATTATATTAAAGAAAACAACAACAACTTAATTTGGAATCAGTTTTTCAAGTTTTATCTGGTTTAATGACATCTGGATTACCCTGGCACTTCTGTATTGGTATAGCTATGTGAAATAATCTGATATTGTATAAGAATCATTGTGGAGTCAGACTCCTTATGTACACACCTTTCTGGCTGGTTGCCTCTTAGAGCGATGTTTATGTTTGGGGGCAAACAGCCTCATCATGTCTCTAGCTGCCTTAGAGGAGTAAGAAAATGTCATCAGAAGCTGCTCCTACAAAAAAAGCCTCAAATCTTAAAAAAAATCTTATTATAATGCAAATCACCAAATTTTTGTGATACTTTAGTTTTGCGAAATAGGTGTCTTGGTATTTATAAGTGATACAAAATTTTCACAAATTGTCATTTACTGACAAACATTATCTTGACTCATGCTAACATATACATGTACTATAATTTTTCTAAGTGCAATCACACAAAAATAAAGTTATGATTACCCTCAGTATATAAATGGTCCTCTCTTAACTTGAAAGAGAAATACTTTTTGCATTAACATCATGTTTGTTGTTCATTATCATAAAAAATGTTTTACAGAAGTTGTATCCATTATCTAATAGAAAATTTATCTGATTTCATTTTGCTGGGAAAAAAAATGCTGCTCAAAGTTGTCAACCTGTAACATTTCGGTGTTTCTGCTTACAAAATAAGTGGCATTTTTGGTAAGCACTCTCTGCTAAATCAAGTTCATTGCTATATGCCTTGTGTTCATGTAAAAGACATTCAAAAAGTGCTAACTCAAATCTATTCTTCTATCTTATGTGTAAACAAGAGGCCCAGGGGCCACAGCGCTCACCTGAGCACATCGGGCTTGAATTTACTCCCCCCCCCCCCCTTCCAGGCGGTCATCATTTAAACAAACTGGAATCTACACAACCTGAGGATGTTTCCATATAAATATCACTAATCATATTAAGCTTTGAAGTACTTGAAAAGAAGATTTTAAAAGGTTTCCCTATATATCCTTATGTAAAACTTGGGTCGGCCATTTTGGCCCCACCCTTACCCCGGGGGTCATGATTTGAACAAACTTGAATCTACACTACCTGAGGATGATTCCACATGAGTTTCATCTTTCCTGGCCCAGCGGTTCTGGAGAAGAAGATTTTTTAAAAATGCCATTAATTTTTAACAAATTCATGATTATCTCCCCTTGGAAAAGGGCGTGGCCCTTCATTTGAACAAACTTGAATCCCCTTCACCCAAGGATGCTTTGTGCCAAGTTTGGTTGAAATTGGCCCAGTGGTTCTTGAGAAGAAGATGAAAATGTGAAAAGTTTACGACAACAACAACGACAACAACAACGACAACGACAGACGACGGACAAATTTTGATCAGAAAAGCTCACTTGAGCCTTCGGCTCAGGTGAGCTAAAAATCAATTATCTCAGTCTATTTCCCAAATAAAATATATTTTACAGTATGCTGCACATATATTTTCATCCCTGATTTTTACAGTATGCTGTACATACATTTTCATCCCTGATTTTTACAGTATGCTGTACATACATTTTCATCGCCTGCTTTGGAATCTGCTGCCCCTGGTACAGGATTGACACTAAATCTAGCCAGCTCCTTCTGACAACTAAACATCAGAGACATTGAACTTTGTCCATTACATCGAAATACCAGGTTACTGTTCAACTGAAATAGAATAATCCGAAGGTTAACTGTAAAACTCAACTAAAGATACAGGTATGATCAGTAGTACACTAAGATGAATGCATACATGGTTTTATTTTCCAAAGTTATAGATACATCTGAGAATATGGAAAATATGTTTTCTACAGAAAATTTGCCAATAGCTCATTATCAATATACAATTGAATGTACAAATGGATAAAGTTGCAGTAACTTGTATTTACAGGTGTGCATGGTCAGTTGACACAGTTATATGTGTGTGGTCAGCTTGACAGTTTCTTACTTGTATATTTACTGGTGTGGTCAGTTTGACATTATTTACAGGCCACTTCCACTTTCTAACTATTGTACCATCTGGTTCTGATAAATGCCCTCCTTTTTCTGTTGACAAAAACCTGAAAGCATAATACAAATTCAGATCATTATTAACTGGTCATTCTGAGGCTGAGATGTTCAAAATAAGTTCAAAGTCCTATCAAAAGGATGCATGATTACGCAAATTAGGTTTTAGTTCTCAAATACTTGTCTAATTTAAGAATACAGGTACCAGTCGCAGACTTTTAATACATGAAATAGAGCACATCATTAATCTGCATGACTTTGTTCCAGATAATATCGTCCAGACAAAGAAGGTGTCAGGATATAAATAAATCACCTCTTTAAACTTTCTTTAGTTAAATCATCCCAAACCTCCCTCCCAAAAGAAAAAAAATTCCATTAGAAAGTGAAAGAATGGGGATTATTGACATTTGAATTGAAGTTGCAGCTCCTAAAATCATTCGGATTATCACATTTTTTCTGCATACTATGCCAGTCAATACCTGATATTTCCGTTGGCGGAGTAGCACACCCCTCTTCCACTCGGAGTGAAACATGCCAGCATCCTGTGGTCGTTTGTATCATCGTAGGCAAGGAGATAGTAACCGGGGCGACCAAGCTCTGCCCCAGCTGAGCAGTAAACAATGGCTGATCTACCTGAAGGATAGCTAAATCACTGTCAAGGAAATCATTCAGATGAAAAATTCATAGGAATCCTACTCTATAAAAACGAAGTCACAGACAAGAAGCTAATTCAGAGAATTTGCTCGAGAAAAAAAGTAAATGACTTCAATGCAAAAACTATAAAGATATCTTGATTTATCAGGAAAATTTACTAGATGCAAAATATGATTTTTTTTTACTTGACCTTTTGAATAATTAAAAGGAGTCTTCTTGATAATTATGCTATACAATTTCAATGCCGATCTCAAAGAGAACTTAATAATTTGGAACCTATTTCATACAATGTTTGAACTTATGTTTTGCTAGATTTATGACCTTTACCTTATTATGGGTCTTCAAAAGGACACACTGAGTTGTGATATATATTTTCATTGCTAAAGCCTTAAAGCTTTTTGAAATATCATCAAACTGAGAAAGGATACTACACAACACTGGTACCATCCTGATGTGTGGCCTCTAAGAGTTTCTTCCCTTGATTGCGCTCTTCGTGCAGTGGAGGTATTCTGGGTTTACCTGTCTTGAAGATGGGGTTGATTTGAGGTTTAGCTGGAGTTTTGCGGTACTTAAGTAGGACTTCTTTTTTATAATCGCCATAGTAACGTACTGTGACCTCTTTATCGTGACCTCTCTCCGTGTCCTCTTTCTGTTCTGTCTCTCTGTAAAACCAATTAACATTGCCAAACCCTCACTCATCGTATACATATTACACAGAGTTACATGTATATACTATGTGCAATTTTCGGAATTTTATACAATGATATCTTACAGAAAGATTTTTTTAATAGAGAAAAAAAATCTGAGGCTAAAGACTTGTGACAATGTTAGGGACTACAGAAAATATACAATGTCAGTTAAATGACAATTCTGTCTTTCTAAGTCAGCAAGGATACTTCTCAGATAATTCATAAAATGAAATTCATTACTTATGTTTGTTACTGAAGGTCTACAGAAATATATTTACATTTTTTTCATGAAGTCTCGTAGGATTTGAATGCAGCTTTCATATATCTTCTGTGGTTCCACCTCTGGCTTTCCCTTCTCTATGATCCAACCTGACAAAAAATAAATCGAGTTTATATCTAACGTTATAAGAACATCTCAAGTAGCTTTTAACCAATAACATTGAGTAAATCTACTCACACCTAAGTTAAATAATTTTCAAATCGGATTACTTAATTCATCTGATGGTTATTTGTAAAGACATTTCTTTTATAATTAATGCAAGTTTCATATGCTTTTACGGCATACATACCTTTTTCCTGACAAAGTTTGGAAGATATTGCAAAATTGATGACGACTTGCTGTCCAAAGGATGGGTTGGTCATTGCAGTGGCTGTTGTGAAAGAAAATAACACAGTCGTAAAATTATTGTGATAATGTAAAATATTACACATATTTCTAACCACCTTCAAAATATTGCTTAGATTTCTCCCAATATTCAGGGAGTTTTAAATTAAATTACATGCGAAATATGTAATAAAAAAGATTAGTAAACTATGTTAAAAGTTTTCTAAAAAGATGGAGAGAAAATTAAGAAAAAAGGACTGTGCATTGTAGTAAGATTTTTATAAATTATAATGTATTTCAAACTTTTTAATCAAAAGTTAAATCTGCTTATCTTTGAAACTCATGAGAGAATTTGAATTGAGTCAAGTTAAAAATGAAATAAAAAAAATAAATTTAAAGAGCATTATACATTTACTGAGAATACTGTAAACCAACTTTTATTCGCGACAACTTTATTTCGCGATTTACCAGGAGTTAACTAGTTCATGACGATTAATTTTCGCGATCAAGCCTGTTGAATCTGATGTTGATACACATAGAGACCTTAATGACAGGTTCGCGACAAGAAATATTCGCGATGACGAGGCTCTCGCGAACTTCGCGAAAATTTCTCGCACACGAATAAAAGTTGGTTTACAGTATATAACTGTACTATTTAAATTTTAATAATTTTTATTTGATTTCTATTGACTCATGTCTGACATTAGAAAGATTAATTGAACAAAAGTTTGTCATCTCTGTCATATATCTAAATTCAAAATAGCTTACAGGACTATTAGGAAAATAATAATACTGTAACACATTAAAATAATAGCCTAACACATTGATCATTTTATTCACACAGAGCAGAAATTTTTCTGGCACAAAATCCTGAATATATCGTTCAAAATTCAAACACTAGCCTATAGCAAAAGTCATAAGTTCACTGCAAGTAAAAGAACTTTAATCAATTCAATTAAATGTTAATTAAGGGTCTGAACTCATTAAACTTTCTATAGCATCTTGCACAATTTTAATGGCCATGGCCTATGCAAGCAACAGTATCTTAAAATGGACGTTACTTTCCTCTCAAAATACTGTAGAAAGTCTTTACTGTTGAAAAAATTAGAGAAGCCAAGATTATTCATCAGTAAATTGTGAAAAAATTAAAGAAATTTTAATTTCTTTTTTTAAAAGATTAATCATGCAGACATTATATATATAAATTTAATAAAGCATAATAGTAAATTAATCTGACAAATTTCCTCACACAGAGAATTGTTATTTAGCACATCAGATTTAGCTGTTAACTTTTGGAGGTTGACAATTAAAAATAGAATCTTATAATTAAATCACAGGGGAAAGTTCAGCGGGGTGGATCGACAGAAATGGACAAACCAGTGTTCTGACAACTCACATCTGGGATCAGAGGGGGTTTCCCCATAGCTGGAAAGTAGGTCATCATGTGTCTGCTTCCGCATGCTTGGTGATCGAACTCCTGTAACTGTTATAGAGTGGTGAAAAAAGCATAGAACAGGCATGCCAAGTTTGAATAAAATCCGTCAAAGAAATTCTAGCTATAAGTTGTGCAGATTCTATACAACTCAAAATTAATTTCCAAGAAATAATTAAGATGGTGAAAAAAAGATTTTGAGAATTATTTAATTTATTGTGATAGAAGACATGAGATTGAGATACTTGGCATACTTGATCATGGACCAGTACATCAGCTAGTAATTTTATATAGCTCTGTATTCTATATTAATTTAATGCATGCAATCTATAGATATATGTATATATACTATACTATCCTAGTATTATTTTATAAATTGTTTTCACAAAATAATGTAACATGTTGCATTGTACATATTGAATCACAATCAAAAAGTTCACAAAATACTGAAGGCATATTTCACATTAGAACAGTATGCATTTAAGTTTCTAGCAATGTGTTTTAATCTTTTAACAGCCCAATTGAACTTCAAATACCTATTGATTTGTTCTGTGCCTTGCTTTTGTACTGAAACCTTTCATTCAAATATTTGGATACTGGCAATTAAAGACTTAAATAATTGAAATTAAATTCCCTTGCCAATTCAGATCATGTACTGTAATCCAAAAATGGTGCGAATCTACTACTTTGATCTCAATAGAACGAATTCATTGTTCGTTTAAATTACAGTCTTTAAGAGCAAGCAATATAGTTGAATACACAGTTTGATAGCCATTTGATTATAACTGTGGTAAAAATAACATTTGTCACTGTGAGAAAATAATTGTTCAGAATCATTAAAAATCGTCAGATATCATTTGGGTACTTGCAAACACTGTGTCTCAAAGGAGTGATTTAAATTAAAATCTTTCAGTTCTGATCAATCTCTCATTTGAGTTTACCAATGCTTCACAATTACTTTGTATGGTTACCATGAGCTAAAATTTGACTACTCAGAATTTAGATGTCCAAGGGGCACTGATGCCACGTGCAGAACCATTAGAAATAATTGTTATCATTTAATCTTTAGATTAAAATATACATTATCTAGCTTCCACATATTTGAAAATTCATTGGATATCAACATTGTTACAATAATGTCAATTGGAAAGTGACAAAAATATATGCTTAGGAATTTAACAGGTCAAATAACATTTAATTTCTTCCATTTTTGGTAATATCCTTATTTAATAAGTATAAATGTCAATCTTATAAACACAAAGTAAAGTGTTTATAATAACAATATGGAAATCAATGTTTGCCCTTGATATTATTGGTTGTGTGATAAGTGTATTTATTTATTTAGCAACACCTCTGAAATTTGTTTTCCTATCGGAGTCTACATTGCGATTTAATGATAGTCCAATGAAATGTGAACAAGATTTCATGACTGAAGTTTATCAGAAAATTGCTGAATTTGCCAACACTCCATTAACATGATTGATGATAAGGCCCTGGGAAGCATAAACTCAACTGACAGTTTAAGTTAAGGCCATTTCTGAAGTTTTACCTTCCTAAATTTACTCAGTAAATTCTAGGTGCTGCATATTTTTTTTTGCAATGAATGTTCAACTTTGAAGAAAGAACATATTTCCACAAGCAACATATTCCCAGGTATTATTTGTCCAAAAAGACATTCTCTGAAACAGACTGGCTTTAATCTACCCAGCACACTGACTTCTTATATTTAAAATAATGCCTTCCATTTTTTTATATTAACTTCCCTTACTTATGTAACAATATACCATTAATATTATCTTCTTATGGGGTTTATGTCTCACATTTGATTCCATCCATAGACAAAAGCACACTATACGGCAGGCTTCTGACAATCGAGTTAATGAACCAAGGATCTCAGTCTTGTTTAAAGTCAACATTTTCTAAATGCTATGGTCCATACAACAACATTGCTTGTATTAACAACAACTATCACTAGGTCAAATTTGACAGAAAAGTTAGGCCATTGTTTTTTAGACTGAATTTTTTTTTTAACCAATCATGACAAAAAATTCATGGTGGTGTGACAGATTGGCAAGGGATGCTTACTCTTCCATTGCATCTGATCCACCTCTGGTTTAATCAGAGGTCTCACTTGTTTAGGTGAACTGTTAGAATGATTATCGATTTAATCTTCACATTTTTAGTTGGATACAAATTCATGCAGCATCTGTGCGGTTTCTACCATGCAAAGCAATTCCTATGCCAAATCATTCAAATTCAGGTGCTAATCGTTATATTGAATTTCTAATTTACAAAACATCTGAACTTGGGAGTTCTTTTAATTGAACACTTTTGTCATGATTTTTATATACTACATAATGAATGTTTGTTTTTCAATCAATCCCGGGCTTATTATAGCCGCTGCTTTTAATATTTTTTCTTCAAGGTCAATACTAAGTCCAAATTATCCTGTTTTTGTGTCATTACTGACTTTTAGAGTTCCCAGGATTGATTTTTTTTATTTGTATAATGAAACACAAACAATAGCTTTAAATGTGCAAACAACCCCTGTCCGACCAATACACAACATAGTGTAATCTTTCAAAATGTAAAAGACTTAAAAAATGTTTTAAAACTCTTCAGATAAGTGTACATTTTCTGTATTCAGTAAATGATAAGAAAAGAATTCAGTCTATCTTTCATTAGAACTTCATTTCATCTTTGAATTTCAAATCTTTAACTATCACAGATCTTCTATAATCAGTGCAGGGAATTTTTTAGGCTTAAATATGAGTTCTTCTTTAATGTTTGAAGAAAGGGTTTTAAAACTGACTAAGGAAAATCAAGCACAAATTTGACTTGGCAATAATTCCATGCAATCAAAAGTGAAATACTTAAAAGATTAAATTTATACAACAAAGCAAGACTTGAAGCTGCATGTGATAATAATTTGCAAGAAAAAAAAAGTGTCTCACTGGTATTTATAAAGGTGAAAGTGATACATAAAATATTTAAAAAGGCCAGGTGTGTTCCATGTATATAAAAAAGTCAACTGTATATAGATAAAAAATTAATAGTGAAACTTGTTTACAAAAGCATGCAGTCAGCAAAGTTTGTCTGTACCTGTCAGCGCACCTGTAATTAGTCAGGAGAGAGTGCTTAAATGGTAATGCTAGGGATCTATAAATCAGTTTCTTGTCAATTGAATAGGATTATGTTGGGATTGTATGATGCTAGAGACACACTGACAAACATTTCCAATATTATAAATCCTTACCATGAAAACATTCCTTATCAATCTACCCTGGTCTACAAATTATATAATCCTGGAAATATGGAGATTTTAATCCCTTTTGGCTTTTGATAAGGAAAGCAATACTATACACATTAATAATTGAGCAGGATTTTTCCCCCTCCTCGGGCTATTAATGATAAAAGTCAATTTTAATTCAAATGCCATACAGTACTATATATTCCTGTGTAATTTTCCTGACAATGACTTTTTCATTCCTTTAATAAATTTATTCGAGAAAATGGTTTTTAAAGAATGACACAGAAAAAATACATATATATTCAAATTGCCATTTTTTGTATTTTAGGTTCAATGCAATTATCTTTCCTGTTGTCAACTACTGACATGTCCATGTTTTACCACAAAGTTAAAGCTATATATGGCGTAACTGATCAAAAAAATATATTTTTGAAAAATACAAAATTAAGAAAAGAAACATAGCTAATACATTTAAATTAAAGCTTTTCATACAATTCTGAACGCGGAAAATACCTCGTTTCATCTAGTAATACGATTTTATCTTTTCTGTAATGTGTTATTTAAATCTTTTGCATTTTCTTCCGAGTCGGAGAAAATTCCGAGAATCCAAATTAAATTGTGATATCTTTATAACGCAATTGACTTTGATTTTGTAATTTACGGAAAAGTTCTATCTTTATATAAAGTAATGATACAAATAATAAGTTCTTATAAGTTTAATCTAATAATTTTCATTGTACATACGCCATATATGGCTTTAATGATTGAACAGATATTGTTTTGTAATTTGTTCATTATATATAAATCATTAATATATTTTTTTCAATAAACAAATATTTATGAATTGTTATCAAGGTTATTTATAAATATTTTTTCCACTCCCTAAATTAATAGCAGAATTACTTTATATATATGATAGCATATACAGGAATGTGAATCTATAGCTGCAGCTATATATATACTTACTGGATCCTCTATGCTCCCGTGCTCCCTTTAACCCTTTGACGTCTAACTTTCCTCTGGATATAGATACTGTAGACATTCTGCTTTCAGAGCGTCGATTCGCAGGTTTATCTGGACGAAATTCATCCTCAATTATGTCGGGAATAGGCAGCTTGTTCAGTTTCTTCGTTTTGGACTTTGAGTCTAATTTTTCAGATGACTTTCCAACTTTAATTTCATTGTCACTGTCGTCGTCGCTTTGGACTTCTCGTAGGGAATTATAATATTGGTCGCGGATTTCTGTTGTCTGCCATTCCCGCGGTACAATGATTACATCACTGGTCAAGTCTTTCCAATTGCTCATCAGCTGGTACTCCAAACTTTTTGGCACATGACTAGCTATGTCATCATAAAAATACAAATACTTGGCCAGCTGCTGCAGAACCGAAATGGCTTGAGCCTTAGTGTCCTCAAATAAAAATCTCTGAGAGTCTTCATCATTAGACAATGCACTGTCAAGTCTATTTTTAATATGGGTCACTGCTTGGTTAATATTTGGCAACAAACTTTTACTTCCTAAACCGTCCCCAAATGGATCTTTTTCAGCTGCTCGTTGACTTTCGCGCTCTTTCTGCGCATACAGAGCAGCGACTTTGGGGTGGAGATGAGCAAATTTGAGTCCCTCAGGCAGATCCTCTGGAAGCTTTCGATAACGTTTCTTTATTAAGGGTTGCTCACTGTTCTGTTGGAAGAAGAAAAGCCTGTCTTCTTCACTTTGAGCGTTCCCCATTTTTGTGATAAGTTGAGGCTCAACTCATACTGCAACATACAAGGACATTTGCTATTGAAATTTCATACATGTACTGCATATGATGAAGTAATAAAATAATGCATGACCTACATAGACAGTTTATATTAATGATGTATGCGCTTCTGCATTCGTAGAAATTTAATAATGCATAAAAAATACATGAAATGTTTCATAGAATGACAACAGAGAAGAAAACAAAATTGTTTAGTCTGCGCAAAGCAAATTAAGCATAATGTGTGAATTTCACTGAAAACAACAGGTGTCTCAGTTTTTCATTATACCATACGAAAAAATTGTGTTTTACACAGAATTAAAATTGTACAAAATGTGCTAATACAGAAGGCAAGCATGTGAAATACAACGAAATGATAAGCGAGCACGTCGGTGCAAGAAAACGAGCAGTCTCATGTTTTCTTAACTTTGGTAAAGATCAGGTAATTGTTCTGTGTGTGTTCCGACCAAATATCCATATAACTGAATAAATTAAATAACATTTACTAATAAGCAATTTCAATTAACTGTCAATAAATGAAAAGTGTCACAGTACCTGTTATTTCCGTCAGCCATCTTGTTTATTAGCGCCACCGAAAGTTGACACGTAACTTAGCAACCCACATCAAAAATGAAAGTAGAAGCACTTAACATCCAGAGCATGGATCCATCGCACGCAAGCTATTATATGTGATGGTAGATTGTAAATTAATTGATTTATGTATATTCCGAATACCGATATTTATATTTCTTTCGATAAATGGCTTTAAAATGGAAAGTATTAGTTTTGTTACATTAGGGCCTACATGCCGTAACATGGTCCGGTCAGCAAACCTCGATCAATAATCAAAGCTGACACTGCTTTATTATGTCTAAGCTTTTATTATGATGAGTTGATAAATAAACATAGGTAATCAGAGATTACAGAGCTCACCTCAACGAACGTTGTCTTTAAGTAAGCCAAAGTCACACAACCAACAAAAAGTGTACATTCCAAAAATGAAAATATTTAAGCAATTTTGATCTGATAATTTGAAATAGACCTACATAAAAAATTTAAACTAGTTCTTCTTCATGAAAATGTAATTAAAATCCAGCATCTGAAGCAAATTTGAGTTTTCATCTCTTGATGCAACATTTGTGCAAGTTTGGTTTATACAATGTTAGGCCATATAAAATTAATCTTTAGATTCTCATCCCCGCCCGCCCCTCTCAAAATGTCCGATGTTTTTTATTTTGATTTTTGGGTATTTTCATGTATTTTTATTCAGTAAGAATTTGTTTCAAAGTTTAAGAGTTATCTCCCGTCTGTATTAAAAGTCGCGTGTCGCTATTTATAGCAAAAACGCCATGTGAAGAATGGAGAAAAATCGGCAAGAAAAGCAGTTTAAATGTGTAAGGAAAAGATAATTTGTCAGTATAGAGAAGGCAGAGAAGAAAAATTAGCATAAACACATATAGATACCATCACTGGCAGGAGCAAGTATGTAGAGAGATTGTAAATAAGTAAAAATAGACGAGGAAAGTCAAGTTATATATAACGATCTCCAGCTGTGTGACTTAGCTTTGAAATAAAAAAAATCTACAACATCGTAGACAGACTTAAGAGAAGGCCTAGATTTTTCAGTAGAATAATTATTAGAACATTTATATAGATTTTGCAAAATAAGAAGTCACGCATACACAATTTATTGGTATCCCCACCTCATTTTGTTCAGGGTGTGCCGTATAAAGTGTACTTGACAATTTGTTAATTAACAATAAATATTTAACTTTAATAAAGAAAAAAATTTCTTTAAATATTTAAAGAATATGAAAAGAATTAAATCTATTCATCTTTGCGTTAAGGTAATGAAAAAAATGTGTACGGGGCGTCCATTGTTTTGTTGATACTTAATTAGGCCTATATATAAATTAACAATTACAAAAAATAAAAAATAAAATCCGCCCACCCGCCCCAATTTTTTTGCAAATTAGGATGAGAATCTAAAGATTAATTTTACCTGGCCTTATATAAACGAACAGTTATAGTTTTTTCTGGTAATAGACCTGCACTCATAACTTACCTGGTCTATTATCTGAAAAATGTATGTCGAATTCAGCATCAGAAGCAAGTCCATTAGTGTGCATCCTAAGATGTATCATTCATGCAAGTTTGCTCATTATAGGGCTCATAGTTAATTGGATATGAAACATGCATCAAAAACTAACATTTTCACTCATCCACAAAAAGTAGGTCAGATTCAGCATCCCAAGCAAGCCCGGTAGTATGCATCCTTAGATGTATCATCCATGCAACTTTGGTTAACACAGGGCTTATAGTTACTTGGTAATGAAACCTACACCAAAAACTTTAACCTGTTCACTCAACCGGAAAATGTAGGTCAGATTCAACATCCGAAGCAATCCCGGTAGTATGCATCCTTAGATGTATCATCCATGCAAGTTTGGTCAACATAGGGCTTATAGTTACTTGGAAATGAAACCTACACCAAAAACTGCACCAAAAATGTTAACCTGCTCCAAAAACATCCTTTGCTGAAATTGCAGCATATGAAACTTTGACTGGTACAATGAAACACACTAGAACCATCTTCCATGAATGTCTAATCAATATAGGACATAGAAGTACTTAAAAAGAAAACTGCTCCAAAAAACTTAACCTTAACCTGGGACGCCGACGCCGACACGGACGCCGACGCCGAGGGTATTACATAAGCTCCCCCAACTTCGTTGAGGTGAGCTAAAAACGCCATTTTTCAATCCTTCCAATTATTTACGAAAAAAGTGTGCCCCTCCATTTCATCAAACTGCACTCCTCTTTTTAAAAAAAATGGAGATGAAAATGTCATCAATAACAACAATGTACCTTTATATAAACTACATATCACCCTTATGTTTTATTTAAATCGCAATCTTGCTTAATTTTTCTAAACATGCTAAAAAAGTCTGAAGAAAAATCTAGCTGTCTTATGTAACAGACTTGTGATGATGTTAAATGATAGACAACAAGGCTGTTGGTTCGAGTTGACAAGACGTATCTTTTATTACGATGGATCAATAAGATAGTAATCATCAAAACCCTATAATGAAATAACAAATTATAAATATTTAGCATAAAAACTATAAAGCTATAAATCAATATACATGTACCATCAATATATTATATAGCTTTATCAGAATCAAGGGAGATAATCCAATTCTATGCAAATTACACAATAAAATCTCCCATTACTTTTATCAATGAATATTAACAATAAAATCTTTACAATAATTATCATTCCAATGTATATGTACATAATGAATTATTGTTCAGCATAAAAACAATTAACATGATCATACCATTCAATGGGAATGGGTCATATTCAACAGCATATCAGCTGCATGTACACAAGACAGCTAGCAATAGGACAATATCTCAATATCTACAAATCAACAATAAACGTCTTTGTAGATATCTACACTGATCATAAAATAAAGTTTACTTTAAAAATATGAAAAAGTGAGACAGCAATTTATTTACTATCAACACATAACTCTATACCTAGTCTCACTCTCACTAAACATTTACTCCTGAAAAAGTGATTTAAGGAATTAAGTGCAAAAATTACAGATTTCACATTTAATAAAACAGAATCTTATTACTCGTTAGTATGAAAGAATTACTTACCATGCAAGAGGAAGTGTTGGTCTCAAAGTCAAATGTCAGGTATATAAACAAAACAGTATAATCAATGACAAAACTGAAACACCTCCATACTTGTCGAAACCAAACCAGAATTAACCAAACCAGAAGTCTCTGTCGAGACTGTAGCTCTACTGGTTTGTACTGATCAAAAACCGATGCACAGAATTATGTATCTTAGTGTAGTCTACTTGTGTGATAAGTTATATTGAAATCAGACCAAAACTGTAGAAGGAGTAGCATTTTAAAGAATTCCACAGAAAATTCTACTTTTAGTAACCATGGCAACACCGTTCATTGAAATCAAAAACCGATGCACCATTTTATGTAAATTAGTGTAGTTTAATTGTGTGCCAAGTGATAATGAAATCAGACCAAAACTGTAGAAGGAGTAGCGTTTTAAAGGAATTTCTCGGAAAATTCTATTTTTAGTAACCATTGCAACACCGCTCATCGAAATCGAAAACCGATGCACTATTTTATGTATCTTAGTGTAGTCTACTTGTGTGCCGAATGATATTGAAATGAGACTAAAACTGTAGAAGGAGTAGCGTTTTAAAGGAATTTCACAGAAAATTCTATTTTTAGTAACCATGGCAACACCGTTCATCGAAATCAAAAACCGATGCACTATTTCATGTATCTTAGTGTAGTCTACTTGTGTTCCAAGTAATATTGAAATCAGACCAAAACTGTAGAAGGAGTAGCGTTTCAAAGGAATTTCTCAGAAAATTTTATTTTTAGTAACCATGGCAACACCGTTCATCGAAATTACAAACCGATGCACTATTTTATGTATGTTAGTGTAGTCTACTTGTGTGCCAAGTAATACTGAAATCAGACCAAAACTTTAGAAGGAGTAGCGTTTTAAAGGAATTTCTCGGAAAATTCTATTTTTAGTAACCATTGCAACACCGCTCATCGAAATAAAAAAACCGATGCACTATTTTATGTATCTTAGTGTAGTCTACTTGTGTGCCAAGGGATATTGAAATGAGACTAAAACTGTAGAAGGAGTAGCGTTTTAAAGGAATTTCTCAGAAAATTCTATTTTTAGTAGCCATGGCATCACTGTTCATCGAAATTAAAAACCGATGCACTATTTTATGTATCTTAGTGTAGTCTACTTGTGTGCCAAGTAATATTAAAATCAGACCAAATCTGTAGAAGGAGTAGTGTTTTAAAAGAATTTCTCAGATAATTCTATTTTTAGTAACCATGGCAACACCGTTCATCGAAATCAAAAACCGATGCACTATTTTATGCATCTTAGTGTAGTCTACTTGTGTGCCAAGTTATATTGAAATCAGACTAAAATTGTAGGAGGAGTAGCGTTTTGAAAAATTGTTTACAGACAGACGGACAGACAGACGGACGGACGCCGGACGCATTACTATCGCATTAGCTCTTCTGGTCTCTGACCAGTAGAGCTAAAAACACAAAGAAAACTTGGAGGGAAACACAAAAACCAATCGAAAAGCATAAGACAATACTAAACCAGAAGTCTCTGTCGAGACTGTAGCTCTACTGGTTTGTACTTATCAAAAACCATTGCACTATTTTAAGTTTCTTTGTGTAGTTTACTTGTATGCCAACTTATTTTGAAATCAAACTAAAACTGTAGAAGGAGTAGTGTTTAAAAGGAATTTCACGGAAAATTCTATTCCTAGTAACCATGGCAACACCATTCATTGAAATCAAAAACTTATGCACTATTCTTTGTATCTTAGTGTAGTCTACTTGAGTGCCAAGTTATATTTAAATCAGACCAAAACTGTAGAAGGAGTAGCATTTTAAAAGAATTTCACAGAAAATTCTATTTTTAGTAACCATGGCAACATCGTTCATCGAAATCAAAAACCGATGCACTATTCTTTGTATCTTAGTGTAGTCTACTTGTGTGCCAAGTTATATTGAAATCAGACCAAAGCTGTAGAAGGAGTAGCATTTCAAAGGAATTTCACAGAAAATTCTATTTTTAGTAACTATGGCAACACCGTTCATTGAAATCAAAAACTGATGCACTATTCTATGTATCTTAGTGTAGTCTACTTGTGTGCCACGTTATATTGAAATCAGACCAAAACTGTAGAAGGAGTAGTGTTTT